GAATTGCCATTGTGTATGAAATGTGCTATATAAATAAACTTGCCTTGCCTTGCCTTGGAATGATCAAGACTTTTTCTATGCTGTGCATCAGCATAAATTATTTAAAAAAACTACAAGCTCTAGGGAGCCTAACACACTTTAAAATATGGCTTTTGTTGCTTCTTCAATCTACTTATTTTAAATTAGTTGAAACACAATTTTTAAGTTTTCTGGAAGAGAGTTTTATGTCCAATCCACTTATATTTGTTAAAATGATGAAGCTAACTTAATAGGTTTGTGCTAGGACAACATGAAGGATTTGTGTGGAACCCTCAAATTTTTACAGTGCAGTATTCAAGTACAGAATTTGAACAATCAAATGTAAAATAAGGTTACCATCATTGTATAATAGACACATTGCAATATTGATTCTTAAAATATATATTGTTTAGCCCTAGCTTGCTTTATTATCTACTTTCGGTGAGCTAAAGAAAATAAATTAAAGATTTTTCAAGGTTTTGAAAAATAAAAATGTCAATCTTTCTACATTGAAAAAAATACTGTCCAGCAAGTGAAAAAAACCAACAACTTTGCAATGACAAAGTCCATTCATTGTTTGTGACTGACACTGAGCCGCACACAAAAGTCAATACTGGGTCATAAGACTCGTCATCCTATACAGACACACGTTAACACTTCAAACATCCTTTCAAAACGCAAACACTATTTTAGGTACTAATCCTGTTCATCTAAAGGGTTAACCAATACTATTAAACAGCCTGAGGGTGACAACAACATCAAGCAAACACCTCATAAAGTGCTTTGCACAGGAAAGGTGTCTCCTGTGCCATTAATAACCCTCACTAATCTTCCATCTGCAACCAAGTAACTAATCTCCACTTAACCCTGTTAGTGAAGACCAACTTCTCTTTACTCACTCATCAAACGACAATCAGCAGGACAGACGGAACCATTTAGACCTTGATGGGTTTGAAACTCATCATCAGGCTTTTCCTGAGGAATAAACAAGACAGAGAAACACAACCAGTTCTCAGTTTCGCCTCAACACATGCTTCATCAAAAACAGATGGAATCAAACATGCCCTCTACCAAAGACTTTTTAAAAAGACTCAAAAACGAAAAAAAGAAAGTCCATGCTAAATAATTAATGGGCTAGTGAAACGTTGTATATACAAAAAGAAGCCCAGATAGCATGACAATCCCAGAACACAGTCCAAGAACACATAAGTAAAACAAGACGCCCGAAAGTTGGTAATTTGGTAGTGGATCGTGTGGAGAAGATAAGAGTGATTTTTTTAAGCATTACCTGGTTACAGAGCAGACTATGCTTCCACTTCTGTTCCCCAAACTATTCACAAGAAGCTGGTCAGCAAGAAACATTTGAGCGGATGAGGAGGGAGGAGAGAGTGAGAGAAAGAGAGAGAGAGGAAAGGGGAGGGAAATACTGTACCCTTGTGAAGAGCCAACACTGCCAGTTAACACTTCTAAAGTACCCTTAACAGCCTTCTTCACGCGCATTAACACATGTGACACCCTGAGAGCTTCATTCACTTCCTTCTAAAGACTGAAGTTTGGTTGTTTTAAAGCTCAGAATGTTAAGAAAACAGAATTTAAAGACAATTACAATTCAATTTTTCCACAAAATACATGGCAACCATAATTACTGTTATAGTACTGCTAAAATTAAGATAGTAAAAATAAAACAGTGGGAACTTGACCTTTTAGCCAATAACGCATTTTAAATAAAAATAAAATGATTGGGGTGTTTTCAAGAATTAAATTTGTAACAGTTTGATTCTACACACTGATGGAGTTGGTTATGATTCTGTTTTTCGGTATTACACTAAAAACATGCTTATTGTTGCTTGTTCAAACTACTTATTTCAAATTAACTCAAACAACACAGTTCTTGACATTTTGTTGGGACAGTTTAATTGTTTTATGTTCAATCCACTTAAATTTGTAAAAACGAATGAGCTGACTTAATTCCTTCATGTTGTCCCAACACAAATTGATTCTGTAAACCCACACCACAAAAAGTAAAAACAAATTACTTCAACTTGTTAAATTAAAGGAATTAAGTTTGACAAACTTAATTTATGACAGTTTTCAGTAATAAATTACGTTAGTTCTTTTAGGTGTAACAGGTTTTAGTCATTTATTTATGGCTAGCATATGTTTACTATTAATAGTGAACAATACTTGTACTTGCCACAAAACATAAAAGTATTATTATTTTAATATTAACATGGGAAGGAAATCATTTGTACTTTAATAAAAGTATTATTATTATATTAACATGGGAAGGAAATCATTTGCACTGTAATAAAATTATTATATTATTATTATCATTATTATAGGAAGGAGATGATTTGTACTGTACTGTTGTAATGTACTGTTCTTCCATTCTTGTTCTCTTAAATTAATGACAAAAAACTTATAAAACCAAGAAGAGCTAACTTAATCTATTACTGAAAACCGTCATACATTAAGTTTGTCAAACCTAATTCATTTAATTGTAACAAGAGGAAGTAATTTGTTCACGTTTTCACTTTTTACAGTGCAGTGTTTTTTACAGTGTACAGTCAAAAATGACGTTTGCTGTTTGTTCAAAGTAAGTACATTAAATGAGTTGAAACAACATAATTCTTTGTTTTTTGCGACAACTTAATTGTTTATGTTTAATCCACTTAAATCTGTAAATTTAATACATTAACTTAATTCCTTCATGCTGTCCCAGCACATTTTTATTTGATTACATTGTATTTATATACTAAATTGGGATGTAATATTAATATCTTCTGATTAGCTTTTTTTCAGTTTACATAAAAATATGTTAATATTCTGATATAGTTTAAGTGAAATAAAAAAAAAACAGGTTTCATTTTAAATAAAATCAGACTGAAATATAGTTATTTGGGGTTTGTTGGAGTTCATAACAGTCTACAAAAGTAAACTTTCTGGAAAAGTTTGTTTTGGCAGGTAAACACACCTTCTGTGACCTTTGAATTTCTGTGAAATTGTCTAAAGTTTGATTCCTCTGTTCAGTTCATCAAGGTCTGTATAGTTATGTAGTAAAACAGAAACATAAAGCTGCTTTATGATGAAGATGTCATTGAAAAATTAGATTTTTCGAATATTTATTTTTGAGCTCTTTTTGAATATTTTCTATCACCACTGTTATTTTATCATTTCACTTTTGAGAGACAAAGATGCAACTCTGTAGCTCACTGTCGCCTCACAGCAAGAAGGTTGCTGGTTCAAGTACTGATTGGCCTGTTGGCATTTCTGTGTGGAGTTTGCATGTTCTCCCCATGTTGGCGTGGGTTTCCTCCAGATGCACCGGTTTCCCCCACAGTCTTAAGACATGCGGTATAGGTGAATTGGATGAAATAAATTGGCTGTAGTGTACATGTGTGAATGTGAAAGTGTATGGGTTTTTCCCAGTACTGGATTGCAGCTGGAAGGGCATCTGCTGTGTAAAACATATGCTGAATAAGTTGGCGTTTTTTTCCACTGTGGCAACCCCTGATAAGATGCAGCACATATTTATATAAAAATCTAAATATATGTAAATTAATGTTTGCTTGCTGCTATGGTTTTTCAAACTTCATTTCGCCCCTAAACAAACAACTACAATTAGCAGCCTGCTTTACAGCCTTTAGTATTCAATTTGTTTTAACTCATTGTATTACTTCAGAGTAAAGTTGCTGCAATTAAAAGTGAACAAAACATGGTCACACTTTAGTTTGGGTCACACTTCACAGTACTTACAAATTACTACTAATCTAAATACTAATCTACTAATTAACGGTTTATTAGTAGTTAGTAGAGTAGATGTTTTGGGTTTAGGTTTTGAGTAGGATTAGTAATGCAGACTTAGCTCATACTTTCTAACTTCTAATGAACAGTTAATATCTTAATAACAGGCAGGTAATAAACCAGTAGTTAATACAGTGAATTGTGACCTAAAATAAAGTGTTACCAACTAGTTTAATATAGGGTAAAATGTAATAAAGTATGCAATAGTAATAAATATTTTTTAAAAATAAGTGTTTCATCAGCAGTCAGACAATTGAATTAAAGTGCCAAGTTGCAGAATTAACACTGTTTTTGATAAACCTATTAAAAATAGCTTTGGTAACACTTGAGTTTTATTGAGATGGATTATTGGTGATTGTATGGGTGATAATGCCAGATTGGTAGCTATACATGAACAAATAAAAATTAACACCTGTTACAAAAAGGTTTAGGAACTACAACACAACATTTTAGAAGATTTAAGAGTTTTTAGGACCCCGCTGATATGCTGTTCCTCTTAAAACTTAATTTTTGATTAGTAATGTGCATGGCTAAAAAATTTTTGATGCCCTCAGTTTACATATTTTGGAATAGTTATGTCTCAGACAGATTTTGTCCTATCCTAATATACCATGCATCAATGGCTTATAAATTCAGCTTTCAGATTTTCAAAAGTAGACCTTTATGACTGGTTTTGTAGTCCAGGGTCACACCTTTCTTTGACAACCACACCATAACCACGACTGGTCCTCGTGTTTTGCCTGAATGGTAAAGTACTGTGTTAAGTTTTAGTGTAAGATGACGTGGCATCACGATTTAACTTGAACATGTTTGACCGGTGAATGCGAGTCCCGCAGCTGAAGTCTGTCATCGCGAACACCGACACAACCTTCTCAACACACTTTCCTGAGATGACATGATCTTAAACCCTCACACACACCGTTTAACCGGACTCGCTTCCCCTTTTAATCCACAGAAAGAAATCATACACTGCACTAAACCCGCCTGAAGCTACAACTCGTGCCCGAATCTGGGGGTCATACAGAGAAGAATGTACCCCAGATGCATTGTGGGCTTTAATATTAACAGTTTCGCTTTCAGACAAGGGAAATCAAAGCGACAGTTAATACAATAGTGGCTAACACTTATACAAACACACACACACACCGCAAACCACAACCCCTTTCGCCTCTTCTCACCTTTCATCATCTCTGGACAGGATGGGGTTAAACAGCGAGATGGCCGTGACTGAAGAGATGCAGACCGTCAGAATGAGACCTTCACTTCTCACTCTTCATCATCATCATCATCATCTTCATCATCATCGGTCGCCTGTCAATATTCGGCTCTCTCCATTCCTGCAGCTGTCGCCCATTTCTATCTCTCTTTCTCCCCGTGTATGTGCGTGCGCTCAGTCCCGCTCCGTGTTTCACATCCGGTAAGGTCTGCGGCTGGTTGAGCTGCTGAGGTGAGGACGTGCGTTACGGATGCTTATTCTAACGGCGGAGTGTGCAGGAATGTCCTGACAGAGGTCTTCATTTGACGCCGCCGCTCTCGCTCTGTGTGTATGTGTGTGTGTGTGTGTACAGTCAAAGCGATTCTCCACTTCCGGATTGACTCATTAGGTAGGATCCACCCACTTCGCGCTTCCCTCCCCTTCGCCATTTCCCTAGCAACAAGATGCCTTAGCAACCGTCGCGAGGCGGTGATGATGGGTAACCGAATGATGGATCTGTAATACATTCATAACGAGTGAATCGTATCATATGAACAACAAGGATTTGGTAATGCTAGACCAAACTTTATTTATTTTAATAAATAGCGGACATCTGTTTACAGCATTATGGGCAATGTAGTTTTTCAGCATGGATTCCATTATCAAACATGTTTTTTTTATTTGTTTAAATATGTTTGTGAACAGATCCAGGTTCAACAAAAGCTTATACAATTAATTACAGAAATAGTTCACCTGAAATTGAACACTTCAGACCTGTAGCCAGCCTGGCGAAAGGGGTGGTTCTTTTTTCTCAAAAAGTGGACCTTTTTGCAGTTATTCGCCTCATTTTCTATTTAACTCTGAGGTTTAAATACTGATTTTTTAGCTGGATTAGCTTGTCGTTTGGTCATCCTAACCACATTTCTTTGATGTACAAAAATATTTCCTAAAGATTTAGAATAGAGAAATAAAATGTAAATTTATTACATTGGGACTAAGCCGAAAAGAAAACGATGAAATGAAATGTATTATATCATATATTATTATAAAAAATAGGAATCTGTTTAAATAATAAAAAAGCAAATAACAAACTGGCTATTTGAATAAAAAATAATTAAAACATAATAATGATAATGTAGAGCTTCATGATTTTCTAGCCTCTCTTGTAAAAAAAAAGTATGTTTGAAAATTCATGAATAACAACAATAGTCAAAATAGTATTTAAATGAATTTTAATATGGGTCAAATTTTAATATTGGTGCTTCACACCTTTTTATTGGTCATTTTTTGTTTTAAGAATAAGTCAAAATTTAAAATAAAAGTTACCTGTAAAATATTTAAAACAATAAAGTAGCAAAAGATGACTTCTCTTATGTCAGACTGTGTTTATTTGCACAGCTGGATGTTGGAAAAAATATTGGTTAGCGTTGGCTAAAACTGATTGTCTGAATTCACACCAAAGCAACACCCAACAGAGGATTCCAATTGATCTTAAAACCTTTTTGATAGATTATTTTCACTATTTATGATATGTCAAATATCAAAATAAGACAAATGAGCTTATGTATGGGACAAATTCTAGACCTTTGTCAGTTAGTCGTGGGTCTACTGTATCACCCAAACCCCCTGGCTACAGGCCTGACTTATCTTTTACTTCTTATGTTAAACATAAAAGACTTTTTTTAACGTTGGAAGCTGTAACCACTGACATCCTTAGTATGAAAAACAAATACTATGAAAGTCTATGGTTACCGGATTTTAAAATTCTTAAACATATGAATTGTTTAGATGCAAAAACCTCTAAATACCATTTGATATTTTCTTCAAAAATTAGCATTTTTCTCCAACTCTCCACTGTGTGTACCGTAGGCCCAATAATTTTACTGTTCAAGTGAAGAATAACTTCTTTTCGTTGCCTTAAACCCTTTAACTGCCCCACCAAGAAATTTTTATTTGCATTGCATTTCTTAACTCCTAATTTTGTTAGTTAACACACTCGATGCATTTTTTTCCAACACATCCCATTTAAATGTCAACCTCTAAATGGTTGATATATCGGTTCATTATAAAAGTACCAGAATTAATACATATTTAGTATGAAAAATCGGAAAACATAATGTAAGACCTATTAAAAAAAATCAAAACAAAAAAATTGAATACAAAATCATCTTTAGTATTCAAAAATTGTCAAACTGACGACATCAGAGAAGGATTGCCATTTCAAAGCAAAAGCAAATGCTCAGAATTTATTTAAATACCACCGAAGAATCACCAAAAAAATCAACATTTATTTTCAGATGATTAACTTGAATGGATTAATTGTTCACTTTAAGACTAACAATGTGCCCTAGCAAAATAAACAGTACATTTTGATTTCATGCAAACCTTGTGATGCTTTTGATAAAACAAGTTCTGTTATTATTAATAAATAATATTTGCATCTTTTTAACTACATATGAACGATTGAACTCTTCCCCGTGGACATAGTTTTAGATGTAGCGAGACAACAGGTTCTCTAAATTTGACATAAAAATGACAAAGCTCCTTTTATTTTGTCCCAATTCTCAAAAATCAACAACTGCCAAACCATGCGAGTCTATTCCCTTACAATGTGTCTCATGTTATTGTAATGATGCTCTTGGACCTCGCTGATATTTCACATTTCAGTAAGAGCACAATGAAAAACTAGTTTTCTTGATCATTTACTCCTAAATTGTCCTGACTCCAGTGATAAAACTGTAAACAAGGGAGATTATAGAGGGAATCATGAAATTGAGGACAGCACACAGGGTGTCCTAGATGAGTATGCAAAGTAACTGATGGGGAAGATATGAATGAAGAAGAGCTTCCTACTGAGACTGAATATTCATCCAGAGACTGTCAGCAATGAGGACACCTACAGTATAGATGCAGAAATGACTTGTTTTGACGTGGTTGTGTTTTAAAAAATATCAAGAAGTATTTTTATAAATGTGTACATGTACAAATTTAGGCTGTATAATTGGGTAATAAAAAAGAATTGGGCGTTCGGTGGGGGTTTTATAAAATAATAGAACAAAATAAAAAAAATACAATTAAGACTGTTTTGACAAAATATTTTCTGATAATTGCTTAAGTGAAAACAACATTATTTGTATGTATTTTACAATTAATTGTTATGTAATGTAATAATAATAATTTATTAAATGTTATGAATTATAACATATAACACACAAATATACACTCACTGGCCACTTTATTAGGTACTAGTATCTGAGATGATTCGTGCTTTATGACATGATGTGGTATCCTGCTAAAAGTAGCTAAGATGATAGGTACACTGTGGCTATAAAGGGATGGACATAGTCTGCAACAATGCTCAGGTAGGCTTTGGCATTGACACAATGCTCAATTGGTACTAATGAGCCCAAAGTGTGGCAGAAAAATATCCCCCACCCTATTTTACCACCACCACCAGCCTGAACCGTTAATACAAGGCAGCATGCTTTCAAGTTTTTGACGCCAAATTCTGACCCTACCATCCAAATGTCACGCAGAAATCGAGACTCATCAGACCAGGCAACGTTTTTTTTCCAATCTTCAACTGTCCAATTTTGGTGAACCTGTTCTTTGGTTTCCTGTTCTTGGCTGACAGGAGTGACACCCGGTGTGGTCTTTTGCTGCTGTAGTCTATCCGCCTTAAGGTTGGACGTGTTGTGCGTACAGAGATGCTCTTCTGCATACAGATTGTCTTGACCATGCATTGAGTTGCTGCAATGTGATTGGCTGATTAGAAATTTGCGTAAACGAGCAGTTGGACAGGTGTACCTAATAAAGTGGTCGGTAGGTGTACAATAAAAAAAAAAAAAAAAACAGAAATATGTTTTTATAAAAAATAAAATACATGTAAAAAAAGAGAGAGAATGGCACTAAAATTGGTCAATAATTTATTTACATTTATGTTACATCCAAAAAAAACATAATACATGTGCACCTTCCATTTACTGTATGTTTTGCCATATATCTATGTAGAGACATATTTCTCATTTAAAAAATTATTATTGGAAGACTTTAGTGTTTGGATCTTCTTATTTTGCATCCTTCAAAGCCAAAAGTTGGTCCTCGATGTTCTTCATTTCCTGCTCCATGGCTGTGATCTGGTTATTTTTGAGCACAAACAAATGAATGTATGCAAGATCTGTCATCAGCTCAAATATATTATTCAATTGACAAGAATGAAGCTTTCTCGTGGGATACGCTGAATGAAGAATAAACAGAGCATGCATAAATATTGCAATCCATATAAATGCATGTGGATGATCTCATATGAATTTTAATAACACAAAAGAAATAATAATGTTTTCTTTTGAAAATAGATTTGCAACAGTGAATAAAAACACTGGGCATTGAGGCTTGCAAGTAAAGCATCAGGCACTTTGAGTTACATGGAAATCTGGCAAGTTGTTACATTTGATTTTCAGATTTCCTTCTCATGGATATGTGAAATATATATATATACTATATTACATTTGTTTGTGCATTTTGAAATGAAAATGTTGCCCTAAAATTTTTAATTGAATTTAATTTAATAAGGACGGCAAGAAGGTTGCTGGAAGGTTGCTGGTTCGAGCCTCATCTGGGTCAGTTGGCATTTCTGTGTGGAGTTTGCATGTTCTATCTGTGTTCGCTTGGGTTTCCTCCGGGTGCTCGGTTCCCCCACAGTCCAAAGACATGCAGTACAGGTGAATTGGGTAAGCTAAATTGGCCATAGTGTATGTGTGTAAATGAGAGTGTATGGATGTTTCCCAGTGATGGGTTGCAACTGGAAAAGCATCCGCTGCGTAAAACATATGCTGGATAAGTTGGCAACCCCAGATTAATAAAGGGATTAATAATAATTAAGGGATTAATAAAGCCGAAAGAAAATAAAAAAATGAATGAATCAATCAAATTAAATTGTATAAAGATTGTATAATATGTTTATACAATATAAAACTTGATTAATTGATTAATATAATATAAAATAAATAAAAAATAAGTAATATATTATAAAATAAAAAATATATAAAATAAAAAACTTATTTAAGTTGATTGTACAATATGTATATATAATATCAAATGAATAAATAAAATATAAAAGAAAAATATAAAAACAATTTAATTTAATATTTGATTGTATAATATCAAATAAATAAAATATAAAATAAAATATAAATTTAATGCGTGATTGTATTATATATATATATATATATATATATATATATATATATATATATATATATATATATATATATATATATATATATATATATGAATAGAAAAAAATAGCAATTAATAAAAAGACTATATAAATAATTAAAGCAATGAAAAAAAATTAAGAGGTCATTTAAATATTGCTACTTTCTCTGGATTTATGGCTGAGTTTTATCATTCATTTCTGTTTTATTCCAATTGTTATCCGATCTTCAAAAAAAAAAACGTAAAACGTGAAAGTTTTTTTAGAAACATTATTATACATTTGTAGACAACCTAAAACTAATGTTTGACTTCAGAAAAATATTTATCAATTAGAAAATTTGTTATTCTGATGCATTTTAATTTTCTAGATGAAACAAAATGCTCAAAATAACCCTAATTTAAATTTTAAAAGACTTTTAAATAAATGCAATTAAACAAACAATAAACCATAATATATAAATCAAGAGACATTTACAATGAGGAAAACTGAATTTATAAAACTACCCAAAATGAATCATACCCCTAGCAAATTCTGACAGCCCCTTTTTGTTCAAATGTAAATAATAGCTGAGAACTACTTTATTTCCCACAATGATGCCTTATGTCTTATTATGTTTTAGAAGTAACTTTAAGCCAGAATTTGCCAGGGGTATTAATAATTTTGAGCGGTTCATTCTGCTGTGGCGACCCCCTGATTAATAAAGGTTCTTTGCTGAAAAGAAAATGAATAAATGAATTAATAATTTGGGCTTGACTTTATATTTTTAAGTGCCATTTACAATTTAAATAACATGACAGTCAAAATGCAAACAAAAATCAAATATATGTAAAAAAAAAAATTATGGTAAACAAAAATTTGCTTTATTTGTGCAAAAAAAGTTTTAAACATGTTGTGACTGATGATCTGTACCCTTCTAGTGAAGTCTAATTTGTTGCACTCTGCACTCACCTTATTCTCCATCTCTTGTCTGACTTTCTGAGGTACTTTTTCGATGTAGCTGTGCGTCTGTGTGCGAGCGAGGGCTTGTTTTAATTTGAACGCCAGCTTTTCTCTGCGCTGACATAGAATCGCTCTCTGTTTGTCAGCATTAACACCGTTCTGAAGGTTGACAGAGAGAAAGCCATCAGCAGTGTTTATATATAGACGCCTTGTTGGGTTGCTTTAATTTGGAAAGGGTAAGCCTTACTCTGCATTACCTGAGCACTAAGATGTAAGCAGAGGGAATGATCCACCACCCCTACAGCGCTGGCTTTAGCTGGAGGACAGTCGCTGAATCCTGCCTCTGGACAGTGCAGATGAAGAGTCGAGATTCGACCCAGAGTGCAAATCGCAGATCTGAAGCACAGGAGAATCTCCATCTGATCTGGAGCACACACTGCGTACACTAGAAGAGATGGTGGAGAAAACAATCTTTCTATATAGAGTTGAAGTCAGAATTATTAGCCCTCTTGAATTATTAGCCCCCTGTTTGTTTTTTCCCCATTTTTTGTTTAACAGAGAGATTTCTTCAACACATATTGATAACTCATTTGTAATAACTGATTTAATTTATCTTTGCCATGATGACAGTAAATAATATTTGACTAGATATTTTTCAAGAAATTAGTATTTAGCTTAAGGTGACATTTAAAGACATAACTGGGTTAATAAGGCAAGTTATTGTATAACGATGGTTTGTTTTGTAGACAAATGAAAACATTTAAAGCTTAAAGGGGCTAATAATACTGACCTTAAAATGTTTTTATAAAAATTAAAAACTGCTTTCATTCTCGCCGAAATAAAAAAGACTTTCTCCAGAAGAATAAATATTATCAGAAATACTGTGAATAAAGATTTGCTCTGTTAAACATAAGTTGGGATTTTTTTTTTAAAAGAAAAGGAAATTCACAAAAGGGTGAATAATTTTGACTTTAACTGTATGTAAAAACTAAAACGCTTTTTAATATATTTTTTTACCGCGATGGTCTTTATGAGAGACTACCTGTGCAGCGATGCAGTGGATCTTAATCTTTGAGCTGTTGTGCACACAATTATATGTGGATACAAGATTTCTTTATTTTTTTAAATATGCAGTATCCTTTAAATTTAGGTTAAAATAAGGCCGCAGATATTGCCGCAAATTTTAAGAAAAGCCTGGAGGGACTAATTTTTTTGCCCCATGTATATAAATTTCTTTTCTCCAACTTCTCTTTAACAGAAATAATTTTTTTTTCAACACATTTCAAAATGTAATAGTTTTAATAACTCATTTCTAATAACTTATTTATTTTATTTTTGCCATGATGACAGTAAATAATATTTTACTAGAAGTTTTAAAGACACTTCTATACAGCTTAAACTGACATTTAAAGACTTAACTTGGTTAACTAGGCAGGTTATGGTAATTAGGCAAGTTATTGTATAATTTATTTTGTTCTGTAGAAAATTGCTAAATAAAATATTTTTTAAGGGGGCTAATAATATTGACCTTAAATTAAAAAAACAAACTAAAACTGCTTTTAATCCAGTCAAAATAAAACAAATACAACATAACTATTACACTCCCAGCATGTTTAAAGTCCCCAAGAAATCAAAAGTTACCATTTTATTAGCTCACATTGCTAGTTTTGTGGTGAACAACTCATCCGTGCATGTCATTAATGAAAAAAGTGCCCTTCTTTTCTTTTATGAAAATCTGAAAATGCACTTCCTTCATTTAAATTGTCAGATTAGGTACATCTTAGGAAATGGGCATGGTTAACACATTAACCAGCTGCTTTATCTGTTTTGACACTAAACTGAAATGGTGAGCTGTTACACTGTAATGACTCTCCCCCAAACCCCTTTCCCGATCTTTCTGACAGAAATGCCTACTTTACTACATCCAATCAGCTTGCAGTAAAAAAAAAAAAAAACAAGCCACACCCACTACTTTCTCATTCAACATTCTCTAGAAACTGCGTCAAGATACGGAAAATAAAATGGTTGCAGCTTCTGGTACATGTGGACTTTAAGATTTGACTAGCATTAAAAAGCAAGTGGTTAGATAGATTAAAGGCTTAAATTAGAATACAACACATAAAATGACTACAATTTACAATTTTATTATAAACCTAAAAAGTGTCATTTTTCTGTAAAACTATATTCAAAACTTCAGTCTTTTCTTGAATAAAAACATTTTGCAACAAAAAGGCTACACTTGGATACAAATAGGTGCAAGAGTGCTAAAGGACAACATCTACTTCCCCATCTATCATCCATCAGTGTGTTCCACTGCAATCAACCTAAATGACACACACACTCACACACACACACATCACACAGTCACAACAATCCACTGCTCACGGACACAATCTGGCTGTGCCCTGAACACCGAGCTCATGACTGACAGGCTGTGACGTATTAGACCTGCTCCCAGATTCGACACGCAGTGACGACCTGCTGGAAAACAGCCAGGGAAGCCAAGACAACATATGTGAGCATCTTCAGATAACACAAGAGAGTCCACAATCTATTGATAAAAGCCCCCAAATAGCGTCTCAAAATCAGTGAGCCTCATAACTAGGCAACCAAATCCTCCATCAGCTGCAGGTGAACAAAAAAAACAACTGATAACAGCTCTTGAAATGTCTTGGGTCCCTGCGATGATTACAAAGAAAAAGCAGAAAGCCAGTTGAAGAACCCTGTGGTTTTCTCTGTATCATATTATTGTGACAAAACAACAAATCGAATTACAACACCATCTAATCTGCTTCCAATCTGAAAAGAATTTTGGGACAAAATTTAGTAAAGTTGGCACTTTTAAACATAAGAACAGACTGCGGGAGAACATGCAAACTCCAGACAGAAACGCCAACTCACCCAGCCCAGGCTCGAACCAGCGACCTTCTTGCTGTGAGGTGAACGTGCTACCCTGCGCCACCATGTAGCCCTGTTTTAGGCAATATTTTCAGCTCATTTTAAGCCAAATGTGCAACGCAGTGGCGCAGTAGGTAGTGCTGTTGCCTCATAGCAAGAAGGTTGCTAGTTCGAGCCTCGGCTGGGTCAGTTGGCGTTTCTGTGTGGAGTTTGCATGTTCTCCTTGCGTTCGCATGAGTTTCCTCCGGGTGCTCCGGTTTCCCCCACAGTCTAAAGACATGGTGAATTGGGTAAGCTAAAATTTTCCCTAGTGTATGAGTGTGAATGAATGTGTATGGATGTTTCCCAGTGATGGGTTGCGGCTGGAAGGGCACCTGCTGCCTAAAACGTGCTAGATAAGTTGGCGGTTCATTCCGCTGTGGCGACCCCAGATTAATAAAGGGACTAAGCCGAAAATTAATGAATGAATGAGGCCAAATGCTTCAGAAGTCATTGGATGGTGCTTTACGGTGCAGATGGAAAATTACCCAAAGCATCCTGCAAAAGCAACCAAAGAGTTTTTGAAGGGAAAGAAGTGGAATGTTATGCATTGGCCAAGTCAGTCACCTAACCTGAATCTGATTGAGCATGAATTTCAATTGCTAAAGACAAAACTGAAGGGAAAATGCCCCAAGAACAAGCAGGAACCGAAGACAGTTGCTGTAGAGGCCTGACAGTACACCATCAGGAATGAAACGCAGCATCTGGTGATGTCTATGCATTCCAGACTTCATGCTGTAATTGACTGCAAAGGATTTTCAACCGAGTATTAAAAAGTGAAATTATAATTTATGATTATTATTCTGTCCAATTACTTTAGGACCCTTAAAAAGTTGAAGAAACTGTTGTAATTCCTACACCGTTCACCTGATTTGAATGTAAATGCTGTTAAATTAAAGCTGACAGTCTGCAGTTGAAACACATCTTGGTCGTTTCATTTCAAATTCCTTGTGTTAGTGTATAGAGCCAAAAATGTTAGAATGTGTCAATGTCCAAATATTTATGGACCTAACTGTATATTGCGATTTGAATACAATTTTGTCAGATGATTTAATATCTCTTAATATACATTATAAAAAAATTATAATGTTAGATTGATTGGGATTATTCTGCAGTGGGAGTGCATCTCTATAAAGTCTAATATATATATATATATATATATATATATATATATATATATATATATATATATATGAAAAAACTTATTTTAAATATATACATAAAAAAAAATATTGTTATAAAAAATAGTATGCATAATCTAATACATTGATTACAGCATTAACATAATATTGCTCTCTACAAACTTTCCATCATTAAATCTCCAACAGAGACTTTCACCATCAGCCAATCCCGGTGTGCATAGTTAGTAATCATGTTGACATCATCCATAGCAACAGAGTGAACTCCACCCTTACTTTTAGCTTAAGACTTCTTTATTACTTAGTAAAAGTTTGCCTCAGCAGCTTGGTGAATAGCTTTTTTCTGCTATTTAGAAGAAATCTAAAATGTTTTTTGAATACCGGCCTGGCTCACTTAAAAATAATTACATTCTATCCAATAGCTATGTTTATTTACATGCATACAAAAAATCCACTAGTAATTGGACTGATGGCTCAATGAAAAATCCAGCATGTAAACAGGCTTATCAATCTGACTGAGCTTGATATGAATTCAATTTTGATTGGATTTGAGGGAGTAGTTTCAATCTTTTTCTAATCTGCTCCTAATCCTAGTACATGTAAATACCTGATCATACTTGAAAATTATAAAACTACTGGAAATGACATAGAACTGGTAAAATGACCCATGAGCTGGTCTTATATGTGACCTAGGAAAACAAAACCAGTTATACTTTGCATGTGTATATTGTTTGCTAATAGCTAAAATGTATATGTGGGTTATAAAGTTATATATATATATTTTTTATGCCAAATATCATTAGAATACCTGAAGTACAGATCATGCTCCATGAAGATATTTTGTACATTTCCTACAGTAAATACAATTGAAGTCAGAATTTTAAGCCCCTGTTTATTAATTTCTCCAATATTTATTTCCACATTTCTAAACTTTTAATAACTTATTTCTAATGACCCCATAATCATGATGACAGTACATACATAATATTTTGCTACATATTTTCAAGACACTTCTATAAAGCTTAAAGTCATATTTAAAGGCTTAACTAGGTTAATTATGTTAACTAGGCAGGTTATGGTAATTAGGCAAGTTATTATATAATGATGGTTTGTTCTGTAGACTATTGAAAAAAAAATATAGCTTAAAAGGACTAATAACTTTGTCCTTACAATGTTTTTAAGAAAAATTTAAACCTGCTTTTATTCTATCCAAAATAAAACAAATATTTGACTAGATAATTTTTCAGGACACTTCTATACAGCTTAAAGTCACATTTAAAGGCGTAACTAGTTTAATTAGGTTAACTAGGCAGGATAGGGTAATTAGGTATGTTGTTATACCATCTGCGATGGTTTGTTCTGTTGACTATTAAAAAAATACAGCTTAAAGGGGCTAATAATTTTGTCTTAAAATGTTTTTTTTTTAAATTGAAAAAGCGCTTTTATTATAGCTGAAATAAAACAAATAAGAGTTTCTCCAGAAAAAAATATATATATTATCAGACATACTATGAACATTTTCTTGCTCTGTTAAACTTGATTTGGGATATATTTAAAAAAGAAAAAAATCAAAGGGGGGCTAATAATTCTGACTTCAACTGTATGTCAAAACCTATGTTTTTTAATAGTAATGTGCATTGCTAAGAACTCGACTTGAACAACTTTTTTTGAAACCTCAAATTCCAAATATTAAACATTTTGTATCTCGGCTAAATATTTTCTTACCATAATAAAACCACATTAATTAATGGGAAGCTTATTTAATCAACTTTTGGATGACGCATTAATCTCAATTCCAATTGGTACTTATGACCGGTTTTGTGCTTAAATGTCACATATAATTTTGTTTAGGAATTTTTACCGATTTTTATATACTGTAACTATAGACAGTGAAGCACAAAGCTTTATATGCCCGTCATCTCCCAAAATAGATAAATATGAATCCCGCCTTTTAAAATTGGAGAACTGGCTAATATTAAGTGTATTCGAAGAGTATTCATTAGGCTTCACTTTTTCTCCATTTTTTATGTTACAATCTTATTGCAAAATGGATTTAATTCATTTATTTCCTCAAAATTAATGAAATAAAAGAATTTAACCCATTTTGGAATAAGGCTGTAACAATATGTGAAAAATAAGAGTTTGTTTTGCTTGTTTTACGGAAATTATCTGCCAGTAGGGTAAGTAAAATAATCTTGTTTTTGCTTTGAAATATAGATATTTGGACTACAAACAGGACAAAAATTCTAAGTAAGAATTTTTTTTGTATAAACCATATAAATTCCATATGAATACAGTAATTAAATACAATTATGTAGCTTCTGGTCAACTAGAATTCAGACTGGACATTGCATATCCTTACGATGTGACTATTGCAGATGCACACATTGTGATATCAATGCTGAAATGATATATTGTGCAGCCTAGTTACTAAATAACTTAAAAACACTCTGGAGCACTTATCCGTAAAGAGCTAAAAGTATTATGCATTGTTGTTAGGGATGCAGTGTTTCTATCTATCTGGTAATTTCTGTATTTTCTTTAATGTGTTGAACTTTCCTACCATTGAAGCTGGATCTGTCTTTGTCAGAAAAAGAAACATATATTAGAACACTAGTGTATGATTTATGAACGCTGCATCTTTGAAACCAAGCATATCTGCAGACTTTTCTCTCCTTGATTCAAGTCAAACGTAAAGCATGCTATTGATGACACAGCTCCAGTTAAAGACAGAAAGAATACTGGCAGACCTAAAGCACCTTGAAGAAAAACAACAGCAGTTGTAAATAAAAAATGAAGAATAGTTAAGTGCGGACGATGGAAATTAGCCCAGTATAACATATATAAATACAGTTTTCTTGCTTTCAATATAGAACCAGACACCAAAGTACATAAGTTCACTTAAATATGCCATGTAAGTTTTGTTATTTTGTAAAGTTGCATTAAATAAATAAAAAAATTAAAAACACAGGTCAAGGTATTGTAGTTTTTTGGGTCACACTTTATTTTAATGTACAATTCTCACAATTAGCAAGCCATTAAATAAAATGTTTAGCTCAATAAACTTCTAATTTGCTGCTTAGTAATAGTTAGTAAAGTAGTATTTGGGTATCATACTATATACTATATGTGCTAATAAACAGTTAATATCTTAATAATAAGTATGTAATATGCTAGAAGTGAATGGTGTGAATTGTTACTTAACCAAAGTGATTTTATAGGAATATGTAAAAAAAAAAAAAAAAAAACATTGTTGAGAAAATATGAAAAGCTGATTAATTTCTTTAGATTTATGTTTTCTCCAATGCACTGTCCAGAATTGTGACAGTCTGTTCAGAGCTAAAAGCCAATTAGTGCCACAATATTACATAATAGAGCTTTAAACATCCCTACTGTACTACTGTATAGAACACTACTGTATATAACAGAAATGCCCAAAGTAGGGCCTGCGGGCCAAAGTTGGCCCATGGTAACCTTTGATTTGGCCCACCATCCCATCTGAAAAGAGAGTGAGAATGATGGGGAGGTGTTTGGGGCGAATGCCTTTGACCGAGATCCTCATTTCCAGTTTAATGTGACCTTTTGTTTCTTTGTTTTATTGTTGAGCTACAAAAAGCTGACTGAAATCAAATGATTCAATTAAATGTTGTAGATAAATCAGAATTTTAAAATGTCAATACTGTCAGATATAGGACAATGCATGCGACATCTGCAAGGAAATCAAGGTAAAGGCAGGAGCATGAACATGTTAATAAGTAAATTATTAAATGATACTGCATTGAGTTCATATGATTTAAAGCATAATCTTCTAGTTATTTTTAAATATTACCCAATAAATTAGCATATTACCCATGACACACTTAATATTTACGATTTGGTATATACATTTGGCCCACAACCCTCAATCAAGTTTGCTGTTTGGCCCTTTATAAAAAAAAGTTTGGACACCCCTGATATAGAGACTAACAACCAAGTCAGACTCCCAGTGAACTTGTCTCTGAAAGCTAATGCAATGGGTTTGCTTTCTTTTTTACAGAGGAGATCAATAATATCAGAAAGGCGATTAGCACATCCTTGCGCTTTGCTGAGGTCAGACAGTCTCAACCACAACTTCAGAAATAAGTCATTACATCTTTCAAGTCAAGTGATGGTAGAAGAAACTCTAAACCATCTTAAAACATTAACCTGTGATCTTTGCCCACATCATTAAGAAGTGGTAAATACCACAATTCGTTCAAAGTCAATAGGATTTATCCAAAGTCCTTGAAATTCACAGTTGTGACAAAGAGCGACCTGGATAATACCATACTGAGCATCTATAGAACTATCTGAAATCTTGCATTCATGGGCAAAATTATTTAAGTTTGTTTTTAATCAAAGAAAAAACTGGGCAGGGCTCTTTGGGACCGTCTTCAGATGTTTTTTTTTTCTTTTCCTTTTAATAAATTTGTTAAGTGTTATGCGAGTACAAGCAGTGCTTTATTTGTAAATAAATAATTTACAGAACAAAACTGGGAAATAAAAGTTACTGTGACCGACGTTCACCAGACACTTTCAGTTTTCCCGGAACATGATGTCCTTAAACGGCAAAAAAGCATCAATTTCTGAACGATTTTTTATTATTTTGTGCCGTATAACGTTATGGGTCAATCATGGATAAAAACGTGTAACCACAAACATAAATCTTATGAAACATCACTATTCTGTATACTAACACCACTGATCTTCAGTTCACCTTCAAGTGAAACGGAGATAATTAAATGACTATGTCTAATCTTCCAGAAGAGCCCACAGTTACCTCTTTTGTCATGTTTTCTGGCTGTCTTACTTGCTTCTGTCTCCCGCTATGCTGATTTAGGTGTGCAGTTCCATCTTCTTGATATCTCTTGATCGGGGCTCATTATTAGATTTACTCATGGTTTAAAAAAATAATAAAAATAAGCTTGACTGCCTCATTGTCATTTTGAAAATACAAATAATGTTTAGGTAGGCCATTATGCCATTATTTTTTTTTCGCTTCTCACTGTGAAAAGATGACTGCCTAAAAATATTGTTAAGGGTCACACACACACACACACACACACACACACACACACACACACACACACACACACACACACACACACACACACACACACACACACACACACACACACACACACACACACACACACACACACAAACACAAACACAAACACAAACACAAACATGCAGGTATTCACCATGCACACTGGATCAATTAAATAAATACCGGAACGCAAAACACGAATATCTGACATATTCCGAACAGGATTTGACTCAAAACAAGCACTGAGTACAGGTGACCATGACTTGTGGAGACCTCCAATGCTCAGTATTTGCACTGCTACTGTTCAACCTGTATATGCTCCCACTGAGTCAACTGAGAAAAAACCAAATTGCTTACCACACCTACACTGTAAAAAAAAGTGCTGGGTTTCACACAGTTCCTTCATGTCATCGCAACACAAATCAATTAAGTTAACTCAATCATTTTTACAAATTGATGTGAACTAAAACAGTTACACATGTGAACTAAAACAGTTACCCCAAAAAAAATTACACATTTTTTGCAATGACACTAAAAACTACTTAGTAATGTCCACTAAAGGGATAGTTCACCCAAAAAAAAAAAACATCTCATTATTTACCCACCCTTGAGTGGTTCCAAACTTTAATATATTGATATTCTGGGAATTGTTGGGCAAAAAACAGCCATTGACATCCATATTAGGAACAAAAAATACTGTGCATGTCAATATTTTCCAACATTCTTCAGTGTATTTTCCTTTGTGAAAGGAACAGAAGATAGAAGCCCAAAATGGAGAATGACAGAATTTAAATTTTTTGGTGAACTATCCCTTTAATGACTACAGCCACATTGACTCGCCCTGCCAATGCAGTAATGAAATGAACACTTGGATGTGCCAAAAGTTAATCAAAAGACAATACATTTGAAAACAAAGACCATGTTCTCAAGGTGAGATGCACATCTTAACTCTACAGTTAAAAGAACTAAAATGTTATCTAAGAACCAAACCATTAATGTCAAGTCCACAAAAACTCACAGTCTGGTTTTTCCTTCGTCATCTGGCACTGGGCTCTCAGTAACCTCGTCACTCTGACCACTTCCTGTACCAGAGAGAAGTCTGCTTCCTCCTTGGGAAAATACCAGTGCTCCTGTGGCAAAAAAGGAGATGAAAAAAGGTTGTTTAGTGACTTAATAAGATTTGCATGCAGGGCTGGGTGTCATTTGGTTATTTTTACAATATCAGTGGCAAATCAACACCACGGCACGGCATAAGCAGTGACTGTGCACATACTTTAAAAAGGAGCTAAAAAGAAAATACAACTTTAAATTAAATAACATATTAAAACATTCAAATATACATGAATATAAAATTACAAATGAACGCAAAACACATTTATGCAACCTATTCACAATAAAGCCTAAGCTGAATAGCCCAACTTCAATAATTCATTCATTTTCTTATCGCTTAGTCCCTTTATTAATCCGGGGTCACCACAGTGGAATGAACCGCCAACTTATCCAGCAAGTTTTTATGCAGCGGATGCCCATCCAGCCGCAACCCCCTTCTCTGGGAAACATCCACACACATTTACACACACTCATACACAACGGACAATTTAGCTTACTCGCACCCGGAGGAAACCAACGCGAAGGCAGGGAGAACATGCAAACTCCACACAGAAACGCCAACTGAGCCGAGGTTCAAACCAGCGACCCAGCAACCTTCTTGCTGTAAGGTGACAGCACTACCTACTGCGCCACTGCCTCGCCAAACTTCAATAATTTAACACTAAATAAAAGTAATAGTTCTTACAATAGGTATTCGACAAACCAGCTTTAATTTCATTAATTCTATTGAAATGAGTGAAATCTGTGTTCTGAACCCATCAGCCATATGGGGTGTTAGTACCCACACTGTAAAAAAATGCTGGATTCCACAAAATCCATTTATGTTGGGGCAACATGAAGGAATTAAGTTAACTTATTAGTATTTATAAATTTAAACGGATTGAACATATAAAATTAAGTTGTCCCAAAAAGAAAGTCCCTTAGAAATTGTGTTGTTTCAACTCATTTTAAATAGGTAGTTTGAACAAGCAGCAAACATCAATTTTTTGAGTGCAACCCTATCTGCACATTATCAGGAGTCTGTTGAAATGAATCTGTTGAGATGAGAAAGGAATCTGTTGAAATGTTTAGACCAGTGAGGTCCAACTCTGTGCTGGAGTCTGCCATTAGCAACCAACTTGCCTCACCAAATCTGCTTAGAAATTTCAAATCGGCAATTGTTAGATACATGCCCATAGCCAGAGGAGGTTTAGGTGGATCAAATGACTCCCCCCAACTGACAACGGTCTAGAATTTGTCCCATACATGACCTCATTTGTCCTATTTTGACTGCTCTGCCATAATAAATTGTAAAAAAAAAATAGCCATGAAAATAGCCCATCGAAGAAGGCCTTAAGACCAAGTGTAATCCTGTGTCAGCTGTTGCTTTTGTGTGACTTCCTTTTTTAAAGTGCCAAATTCGGCACTTGTATATTACAAGTGTGTATATTACATGAAAAAAGCTAATTGTCCAGTTATATTTAAAAATAATTATTATTGCCATCTCCATAGATATCCACATGTATTTTACAAACCTTCAATGTTATGTTTTGCTAGTAGTTAAAGGTGCAGTAGGTGATTGTCTTCAGAAACATGTTTTGTTGTGCTGGTGGAAAGTCTCTTCTTATTCCAATAGTAATGATTACAATGCAGGGGGGAATGTTGGAGTGTCTAATTAGGCTAAATGCAAATAGCGCATAAGGAATAAGCTAATTAAGTGATTCCTGCCCATCACCGTTTGATTAACAGAGACAACACAAGAGCGCGAAACACAGCAGTGTGAGGGCGTACTCACACTATTTACAGTTGCCTTGAACCAGGCCAAAGCACGCTTGTCCTCCCTCCCGTCTCCCCTAACGGCCCGCACTCACATTACTTTCGGGCCTGGGCACATTTATGTCATCGATGATGCGCTATTCAAAAAGCGCTCTTGCTCAGCACAGTGCAGATTTCTTCAGTTATATTTTTTGTTTGGGATGCGTGACACGAAGTCAAATATTTCACCGAGCAGATAAGCCACTTTTGACGCTGTTAAACAATCATAAAGTCCTTGTGCTACAGGTGCAGCTGTCATGCAGTGAGGGGTTTGCATCTTTGAACAGAAAGAATGATTACTCAATCAATCCATATGAAACAGTCCCTTAAAAGTCACGTCTCGCTTTCAGTTTCGGGCTTAGGCGCGTTTTGGACTCACACACAAGCATACCGCTCCAAAGCCAAAGTGAACCGTGCTCTGGGCCACCTCTGCCAACCGACCAAGTAAACCGTGCCTGAGCACTCACACTTCTCAAATGATCCGGGAAACAGGCCTGTACACAGTTCGGATAGCATAGTGTGAGTAGGCCCTTTATCTGGGCCTGGAACAATGTTATATTTTATAGTCATTGGCTGATTATATGATTTCAAAATTTAGAATTTGCAAACAATACTTTTCTGAAATTATATTATCAAAGAGAAAGTCTGAATGTTTGGATATAAAACCAACTTTACCTCAATGCCAGTTTTCTAACTGGTGAATGACATGATCTAGTGTTATACAAGGTAAAGGTCTGCATTCCTAAATCTCAGAATAAAGCTTGGGAGCAGTCGGTAACTGATGTAATTTGAACGGGAGGGGGCGGTGAACAATATCGCTCCCGACTCCCGAGCGAGCGAGCACGCGTATGTATGTGTGTGAATGAGAGAGAGTGATACTGTGTTTGGCTTGTTTGTTGCGGTCTATGTGTGTGTGTATGTGTGAATGAGAGAGAGAGCTTGGTGCTGCCTATGTGTGTGTGTGTGTGTGTGTGTGTGTGTGTGTGTGTGTGTGTGTGTGTGTGTGTGAATGGCAAAGAGCGTGATGCTCTCGTGACGCCATCAGATTGTCATCTATTCCTTTATGACTTAAAGAGGCATGACTTTGGACGGCAAGGGAGGGATGTAAATTTTATGCTAATGCTAGCATTTTGCATCACCCACTGCACCTTTAAATAAACAAAAAAATATTCAAATAAAAGAGTGAACCAACCCTTTAAAATTATTCTATAGTGGCTGAATATTTAAATCTGGTGGGTTTGGTGTATCAATACATACATTCTAATTGACATGTAGTGATGTTTCTCTATGGCCAACTAGTATCTGCATTTTAGACATCATATTTTAGTATTGTCATGACTCACTTGGAACCTCAATTGAGTTTAACAGCGCTTATAAAACCCACCAAAAGTGACCCATTCGGTGGACATGGAAAAGTGCCAATTGTGAGTGTTTGTTTGTTAGACAGACTCACCAGCTGTGAGGTCTTTGGGTAGGGATGAACACACAAACTGCAGGATGTCTTGTCAAAGTGACCATACGGCAGGAGTCTCTGCCACAGCTCCTCTGTGAGGAACGGCATAAAGGGCGAGAGGAGAGCCAGAGATACAGACACGCTGTGATACAACACAGATGTGGCCACCTGCCTCTCTCCGACTCTCTCTTCACAGCCTTCAGGCTTCAGCAGTGGCTTGATGCTTTCCTGAGGATGAGAAACATCAGTTTAGAGATGGAAACTCATCAGTCAATGATTGCAAGATCCATCAAATCACGACAGCACTGCAGTGAAGATCATCCTCACCAGGTAGACGTCACACAGACAGTGGAGCCAGAAAGAGTGCAGCGCGGACGTGACCGTGTGTAGCTCATAGCTCTCAAAACCCTGCTCACACTCCTTAACCGTGCTGTAAAGACGGGAACATATCCACTTGTCCATACTGGATAGAGGATATGTCTGAAAGACAAAATGAGAAAAAGGTTAGTTCACTCAAAATGTTTTATTCTGTTAATTATCACCCAATCCCCTGAGACCTTCGCTCATCTTCAGAGTCCAAATTAAGATATTTTAAATGAGTTTAGATCTTTCAGGAGTTTAGATCGACAAGACGGTGAGTATTTAATTAATTTAGCTGAAATAACCCTTTAAAGATTATTGTTATGTGTTTTTCAGTGTTGATATTTGAGAGTAAAGCCTAGTTTACACTACAGGATTTTAAGCCTAATTTGAGCCTGATTTTAAAGATAAGCAGCTCGCCAACAGATCAAGCTGTGATCGGGGAAAACTGCGGAAGCTCGGCGCTCATCGGTCATTATGTGTGAACTACTGAACAGCACATCAAAGAGGCTCGCTGATGTGTCGCTGACACCTCGCAGATGAAAATTCAATATCTAGCATGCTGAATATTCCAGACCAGTCGGCCAACTCGACCCCACAGATGTCGGGATTAGCTGCAGCCAATGAGAGAGCATATCAGCATGAGCTGAATCACCGTTGTGCTTAGAAGCTCAACAGAAATGTCTGTGATTGGCCAGAATGGGCATCAATGCACTCGTTTCACTCTGTATGTTCACAGGGACACCAGAATAAAAGTTTCATTGGCTGTGGTTTGGTAGCTTGACAGAGCTGTTGGGGAACCGGTTGTTGTCAGATCATGTAGTGTGTGACCCCCGCTTGAGGATCATTTACGTAGTGTCGCGTAATGTTGACACCACAGCGATTTAAAGACACAAAATCAAGTCATGTAGTGTGAACAGTATAGCGATCTGCTGATGTTTAAAGTCACGTAGTGTGAACTAGGCTTTACTGTGACTAATGGTCAGTATATAGGCTAGGGCTGTGCGATTAATTGAAATCGAATCAATTTGAAATGTTGCGATTAGCTAATCACTAGCGGCTGCGATTTGAAAGATATACGTATTATTCAATTTCTTCCACCCAGAGCAAACGCGTGACTGCCGTCTGTGTGTGACAGTCGTACTGGCCAATTGAGTGAGGACACATTCGTTCTGCTCAATCAGAATTGCGCAACGGGACAAAGTGGAATACCCACAATAGCACAAACAAACAGGAGAGCGCGGACGAGTGGGATAATGGCGTCTGCTGCTTCAGAAGCATTAACAGACAAATTAATATCAAAGAAAAACTGCACGTCAGTAATATGGGATAATGTGAATAGCTTCAAGTAATTTTACTAGTTTTGTGTTGTAGAATATTTATATGGTTTAATTAATTTGAATTAGATTTTAAATATTTTGTGTAAACATTCATTTACTCATTCATTCATTTTCCTTCAGTTTAGTCTCTATTTCAGAGGTCGCCACTGCAGAATGAACTGGCAACTATTCCAGCATATGTTTTACGCAGCAACCCAGTACTGGAAAACATCCATACACACTCATTCACTATGGCCAATTTAGTTCATCCAATTAACCTATAGCGCTTGTCTTTGGACTATGAGGGAACCAGAGCTCCACAAAGAAATGCCAACCGGGCCAGCTGGGACCAGCAGCTCAAGCTGTGAGGTGACAGTGCAAACTACTGAGCCACCGTGCAGCCCACAGTAAACATATAATAACTAAAATATTAATGCTAATTCAACAATTAATTAATCCCGATTAATTGAAAATTTTAACTCGATTACAATTAATAAACGATTTTTTTATTGATTTATTTTATGTTTTTGCCCTCACAGTTTACTGACAAGTTTTGTACAGTAATTATGCTCACATATTACAAGTGAGAGATTTTTGAATGAAGGGTGCATTACTTGACATTAAAATAATTGAAGGAAACACGCACTATATCTATGATTCTTTATTGAACATCAACACTGAACAACTGAAATTAAACACACATTGCCTAAAACATGGCTCTCCGCGCCATCCACCCTTGTAACCACCACCAAACCGACCAATTCCAAAGCTTGCGATACGAGTTGTTGTGACCTGTGTGCAATGGTGCGTGCGCTTGGCAGAAGTATAATATCTGAATAGTATAATAAGTATAAATCATAATATAATAAAAATAAATTAGACTTAACAGAGTGGGGTCACGTGACTCATTGAATTGAATTGAATTGAATTGAATTGAATAAATTGACCTGGAAAAATCAGATAGATTATAGATTCTGAATGTCTACTATATTAGATTTTGCTTTTTTTTTTGGATAGCTAGCCTACATTTTTTTAAAAGGGACACATTTCTGATAACTATATTCACACTGTATGCTTGCTGAATCAACACCAGGAAAATGTACTGATTCAGAAAAGATGGATGCATCTTCCCATTTCACCTCATATTTCTTCAAATATGCCTTCATTTCCCAAAAAAAACCCTGCATTTTGCCTGCACAAAATACAATGGTCACTTAAATTGCACCAGCACATGAACATATACAAATCACATCCATTTTATCCTTACATTTAAATGAAGCCTGTTCAAAAAGTATCTCAGTAAATCAGAATTCTTATTTAAATGTTTATGCTTCATATCTGATCTGTGTCACATAGGAAGAACAGTACGTACTTGACTAATGCAATGTAAGCGTGGCCTTAGTCCTGGTCATATTTATGACTGAACCTAAAAATAGAAACTACACAAAAGAAATAAACAAATAGATGTGTAAATAACCTGTTTAAGCTTAACCAAACCTGTTTACGTTTCTTTCTTCTGTTGAAAAAATTTGATAGAAGTCAATGGTTACCAGTTTCCAACATTCTTTAAAATATCTCTTTTGTATTTTGCAGTAGAAAGAAACTCCAATAAGTTTGGAACAAGCGGAGAGTGAGTTAATGATGACAGAATGTTCATTTTGGGGTGAATTATCCCTATAATGTGCACTATTATAGTCTGCCAGCAGATTCTGTGATTGACACGAGCACACTGTGAAATGAAGGGAGCTTCAACACGAAGAGAATAATCTCAGTGAAGAACTCTGACTTCACCCTTCAGATTGATTTTCTGCCATTTGCTGCTACAGAAAGAGTCATTCTGCACTGGCCTTGTTCTTCTTCTATTGTAATTTAGTCCCATTAAACTGAATAGCCAATGTGAGACAACACAAGCGCAGGTGCAGGACAAAATACAGGACAAGATAAAGTGTGTGTTTCGTTGCAAATGATGATGAACTGTTAGTGTAGAATGTGGGTCAAAGATAAAATGGGGGTTTCAAGCACCAATACAATAAAAGTGTAATACAGCTTTTCTGTTCTTTTATTATTTCCCACATGCATTAGATGAATGTGTCTAAACATATAATAATGATAATAATAATGACTTTGATTTATGATTCAGTTTTACAAAGACTCACATAAGATAACAACTAAATTGCCATTCAGTATGACAGTATGACATTGCTGTTTCAGTTTATATAAGAGCAATATGACATCAAACATCATTTGATGACATATTTACATGTTCCACACACAATGAGAAATACTGATTAGTGAAAGCCATTTTCCTTCTAACCATTATGCCTGTTTCACATCGCGAGTGCAAGCAGAGGGTAAGCAGAGCATGAGCAGCGTGCACAGGAGAGCAGAAGCAGTGCGCAGGCGTTTGCCTTTCACACCGACCATGTCTGCAGCGGGCAGCTCATCGGCAGCTGCTGCACAGATCAAACTATCTCTGTCTGTTCTATCTAGTAACCTATCTATCTACAAATACACTTTTTTTCCTTTTCATCTGCGCCAAAGCCCGCAGAAACTTCCACCTATGCTTTTTCCTTATCCTGCAAGTCTTTACTTCACAAATAATATATATCATAAAGAACCGTATGCTTCTCACGCTCTGAGGAGTGTCATTTGTGTCTTTTCAGGTGCACTCGGAAGACAATCGCCTGTGATATCATGTCATTAAAATATTTATACATGATATTTATACATGATCAAAGTAGTGTGCAACGTACTAAGCAAAACTAATACTAAAATTGTTTTAAATTTGGTTTTGTAGTTCGAGCCCAAATAAATATTTGTTGCTGTTTTTAATCATTTAAGTTCATTTGATTGACTATATAAAAATCTGTGGATATTATTAATACATTTATTGGGTAAAATTGCTACTTTTACTGTCATTCAATGTGTTTTGGTCATTATCAATGCACTGTCACTTTAATTGAGTGTGAGCAGTGCAGCAAAAATAGACCCAGCGCCGAAACTATCGCGGCACTGCTGCTTTAGCCTCGTGCTGACAAGCTGCTTTTGCGTGCAGTATGGAAGCTCTAATCTGTAAACATGGATGCCAAAAAAACGTGCGCTGCTCATGCTCTGCTCAAGCTTGTGGTGTGAAACAGGCTTTAGATTTTACACATTTGTAAGAAATTTTAAAAAATTAAAATATAACATATATAAAATAAACACTGTTTATTAAGCGTATGAATAAAATATGCATGTAAATATTACAATTTATATTATGTGTATTAAGAAGTACAAATCAGATTCAAGTTTGTTGTTTGATTTTTACAGTAATACATCGGTTATGCTGAACGATGAAACATTTTTTCACTTATTTTGATCATTTATTTTTTTAAACAATAATTTGACATTTTAAAGAAGACACTTGTATATAATATGTTTTTATTAGGGAAAAATACTTTTGTATATTCAATTTGATACAGACACCATCTCATAATAATTATAATAAATAAATAAATTATACTCAATATATGTGTGTGTGTATGTGTATATATTTACAGGGCTTATTTTGTGCCAGAGCACGCCGGATTCAGATTCAGCACCTCTGAAATCTGATCCGGCACCTCATTTTGCCGATCTCCCTCCTCAACCTCCCTTTTCCCCCCATCCGCTGTTCACTTTCGCTTTCTTCCGCGACTCCCCAACCCTCTTCACTGTCGTCCGCAACACCCCCACTCACTTTCGTCTGTGACACCCCTCCGCTATCCACCTTACCAACATAACAATATATATATATATATATATATATATATATATATATATATATATATATATATATATATATATATATATATATATATAAATATATTTATACAACTGTTTTGTCTGGTTCTTGAATCTGATTGGCTGATAGCCGTGTAATATTCTGCAATATCAGAACTTGTACAGCCTCTTCAATCTTGTGTATTACTCCACCCACATAGAGTGACAGCAGATCAATAAACTCACTACAGTTTGACAAATATTGCAGCTGTTGGACAACAATGTACTTTTGTGGCTTTTTAGGCAAGAATGTTTAGATTGTTGTTTAGATCGCAACTCTGCAGTTTATTTATAAGGATGTGCCTATTTTAAATATTTACAATTTCGGAGATACAGTATGTCAGCAGCTATCAGCTTGTCATTGACCAGAGCAAAGACTGTTGGCGTTGTTCATCCAAAAGATGGTAACAAAGACCAAATAAAAAGCCCTTAGAGGAGAAAAACTACAGCTGATCAAATCATTATAAAACTGGTATGTGACATTTTAAGTCGATCTCTTTCTTTTTTATGTTGTAGTGCTGTATTTATACCCTAGAAATTGTAGTGTATTGAGTGTGAGATAGGACTCACATATCTGGAACGTATGTATTTTGTGTTGGCCACTCTTTGTATAACCCTGAGTTTTCTTTTTGGTTGGCCATCTGTTTCCTGTTTTTGTTACTGCAAACTAGTTCAGTAAACAGAAAGAAAGAAGAAATGCCCGCATGTGTTAGCGTTTTACCCTAACTCAAATACAACAGTAATCTGGCAGTTATTGTGCTGTTTTGGCTTTTTCTGAGATAATTATTGTGATTTCCATACTGCAACAAAGAAATCTCAACAAAGAAAACTCTGTAGACTGATGGCATTTTTATGATCTTAAAATGTCAGCAAAATCACCTGTTTTGTCATCCCTTTTAACATTACACTAGAGAATCATTCTAATACTAGTTCTAAAGTGACGTTGGTGACGTCATCTACAAATGAGAAGAAATGGCGAAAGAAAGTAGTTGCTCATACAAAAGGATTTTTAGACTCTGTATTTGATTTTCTTTTTTATATACATGATTATGCCGTCAAACTGTTGTAAAAACGCAATTTCACAGCCACATCGCGCTGCTACTTGTGTGATTTTGCTCATATATACGTGCATGTACATTCATTTATTTATTTTTAATCCTTTGTTTATTTATTTTTACAGAGCACTTTTATTTAAGACATTAGTCAACTCAGTTCAATAAAAGTCAATTTCCCCCAAACTGTAACAATTTACTATAATTAAAATAATAAATAATAATTTATTAAACAAATCCACTGTTAAAAGTTGGCAAAGGATTAAATAACTGATAATGAAATATTTTTATTACGTTTTTTAAGTCCAAAAATAATAAAAGTCCAAAATAAACAGTTTAAATGCCACAGCTAAATCCTCAACAGCATAAAAAAGGATACTCATTTTGAGATTATTCTTTAACGGTGCTGATTTTCTTTAACAGATAGAGAATGAAGATTACTATATCATGTTGGCATTATGCAGATTAGCCCTATTACTGCACCTCCCAGTGAGCAGGAATCTGAATCTCAACAGGCTTGTTTTATTGCTTTAACAAATACATACTTGCTACCTCACCTCAGCTAATGGTGTTGGTAAACTTGCATCATTCAGTGTGGCGAGGGTGAAGCGAACCGTCTGCCACATCTTATTACAGAAATGTCTGCAGCTCAGCACATGGGACATGGACAGACTGATGTCCTCTCCTGACACAAAACAGCAGCAGACGGAGTGAAGAATTCTGGCTCGTCTGATCCTGAGGTTTGATTACGGGACAGTAATGAAGGCGACTTACCTTGAGCTCTATAAGAGCAAAGCGCAAACCTCAAAGCGTCTGTACCGCACTCGGGGATCCCTTTGGGGAAATCTTTCTTCTGCAGGAAGGACACAGAGAATGAGCTGAGTTTGTTCATTTGGGAATGACTGGAAGAGTGAAAAACTTGTACTGACCTGTGCTTCAATGGCAACAATGCTCTCTCTCGGGTCCAAGTTTCCTTCTTTAACTTTCTCTTGAAGTCTCTACAGGGATCAAATCAGAACATGACTGACAAGAAGACAGAGTTTCCTGTTTTAAATATAAAATTTTTTTTTCTAAATGAGAGGAGTCTGTTCTGGCCTGGGGCCTGATTAAAAGGACATCTGACTGATACTCTCTGCCAGCTGGGAAATTCTTGTTATAATCATTACTGAGTTTGAGTTATTACATTTATTAATAAACTGAGGATTTAGCGTTTGTAACTTAGGAACAAAGTAAAAAAAAATGTACAAGTGTTAAAGACAAAGCAGTGAAAATAAATGTTATCTGAAACCTTATTAATTATAAGTGTTATATTTCAGCATCATTTCAATTAAACTAAATATTTTTTTAAAAATATATAACAAATAGAACAGCATGTAGGATTTTAACAACATCTAAAAACAGAAATTCATGAAATATAATGAACTTTTTTTGCCAAACAAATTGGAGGTTTAGGGCTTTTAGCATTTGTCTTTTAGCTAGAGGGATTTTATGTACACTCACTGCTGGCCACTTTATTAGGTACACCTTACTAGTACCGGGTTGGACCCCTTTTTTGCCTTCAGCACTGCCTTAATCCTTAGTGGCAAAAATTCAACAAGGTACTGGAAATATTCCTTAGACATTTTGGTCAATATTGACATGATAGCATCACGCAGTTGCTGCAGTTTGATTAGCTGCACATCCATGATGTTAATACTCAGATAGGCTGTGTTACTAATGGGCCCAAAGAGAGCCAAGAAAATATCCCCCACACCATAACACCACCACCACCACCCTGAACCATTACAAGAAGGGATGGATCCATGCTTTCATGTTGTTGACACCAAATTCTGACTGACCATCTAAATGTTGCAGTGGAAATAGAGACTCATCAGACCAGGCAACATTTCTTGAATCTTCTATTGTCCAATTTTTTGAGCCTGTGTGAATCGTAGCCTCAGTTTTCTGTTCTTAGCTGACAGGAGTGGCACCCCGTGTGGTGTTCTGCTGCTGTAGTCAACTTGCCTCAAGGTTCGACATGTTGTGCATTCAGAAATGCTCTTCTGCATACCTCAGTTTTAACAAGTGGTTATTTGAGTTACTGTTGCCTTTCTATCAGTCTGGTCATTCTTCTCTGACCTCTGGCATCAACAAGGCATTTGTGCCCACAGAACTGCCACTCAATGGACATGTTCTCTTTTTTTAACCATTAAACCCTAGAGATAGTGGTGCATGAAAATTCCAGTTGATTAGCAGTTTCTGAAATACTCAGACCAGCCCGTCTGGCATCAATAATCATGCCACGTTTAAAGACATTTAAATCACCTTTCTTCGCCATTCTGATGTCCGGTTTGAACTGCAGCAGATTGTCTTGACATGCCTTAATGCATTGAGAAATTTGCGTTAATGAGCAGTTGAATAGGTGTACCTAATAAAGTGGCCAGTGAATGTATATTGCACATATTTTTTGCCTAGTCAAGTGTTTTGTTTATTGTTGTCTTCATGCTTTATGCTTTCTGCAATGCGTTTAGTTAGACATGAGACATGCATTACAAAAATACGGTGAAATATGAGGACATAAAAAAAGGCATAAAATTTCAGAAAAGTAAAACTGTACACAGTTTCCAGTATGGGGTGCGGTAATAATAAAAAAAAAACTTTGTACATTCTAAAAACAATAGAAAACTATTGAATGTCCCCACAATTCACAAAAACCAACCTCTCTATGTGTGTGTGTGTTTACCTCCAAAGACACCCCTGAGATGACATCAAGAGGATCGATGACATTTCCTAAAGATTTACTCATCTTCCGCCCGTATTTATCCCTCACCAGAGAGTGAAAGAGCACCTGTTTGACACAGTGATGAGGGGGAGAGAGGAAAAGAGCAATAAAAGAGTCAGAGCTGCAAATAACACAGGCAAAAAAAAAAGACGGTAACATTTCTCGGTGACATTTTGGATACTTTTGGTATATGACGCACATTGCAATAAAAAATTTCAATTCCTGCCAACCTTCTAATATGGCATTTAGAGTTATGAGCTGGGCAATAAGCCACCAACGCAACCTGTTTAAAGGGCAGCTGTCCTGTCAACTCTGTGCCCAGCATCACCATCCTGGCCACCCAGAAAAAGATGAGGTCGCTGCCTGTTTCCAGGATGGAATTGGGGTAGAATTGTGTCAGGTCTTTAGTCTGAGTAGAAAGAGAGATCAAAGCATGTTCATCTCGACGTATTTGATACACATATATGAGTTCATGGTGTTGAAAAAAAAATGATTGAAGAACCTGCTGAGGCCAGCCGAGCATGGCAAATGGGAAGAGACCAGAAGAGAACCAAGTGTCCAGCACATCTGGGTCTAAAATAAACAGACATCTATATTATTTCTGAGCATGTGATCAGTTTGATCACTGTTGGCAGTCCTGTGTGACTTAAATCATATAATGAATGACTATGGTATTTTACTTTCAGAAATATCTTTCTGATATTTAATGAGGGCGACACGGTGACTCAGTGGTTAGCACTGTCACATCACAGCAACAAGGTTGCTGGTTTGAATTCCTTCGAGTTGAGTCAGTTGGCAATTCTGTATGGAGTTTGCATGTTCTCCCTGTGTTGGTTTGGGTGTCTACCAGGTGGTCCGGTTTTCTCCACAGTCCAAAGACATGTGGTATAGGTGAATTGAATAAACTAAATTGGCTGTAGCGAATGAGTGTGAATAAATGTTGAATAGAACGCTGGAAGGGCATCCACTGCATTAAACATTCGCCAGGTGAGTTGACGGTTCATTCCGCTGTGGCGAATAAAGGGACTAAGCTGAAGAAAAAAGAATAAATTAATATTTAAAGATATTACATGGGATTTCTTAGTGCTGGAAAGTGACTACTGTAAGTATTTTACTTTGCTTTTTAAGTATTTTTACTCAGTTTTGGGATTAAATAAAAAATGAAATAAATTAATTACTAAGTGCAAATTAAAATTGCTTTGAAATTGCTAAGATTGTATTTAACTGCATGTTGGAGAAATAATTTAGCTACTCAATAAGGAATTTGATCTCCTGAATTAAAACTATTTAAATCCCTGTAAACCTCAAGCATTGACAACAGATTTCACTCAAACATGGCTTTTGAGCTTTATTAAAAAGTCAAACTTAAACATTTTAAATAACAAACGTAACATTCTTTAGTTAATAAATATAGTTACTCTGCCAAAAAAAGGAAAATATTATACTACAGGAATCAAAACCTGTAAAGTAATGACATCATATTTAACATATAACATTCATTCATTCATTTTCTTTTCGGCTTAGCCCCTTTATTAATATGAGGTCGCCACAGCGGAATGAACCGCCAACTTATCCAGTACATATTTTACGCAGTGGATGCCCTTCCAGCCGCAACCCATTACTGGGAAACACTCATACACTCTCATTCACACATATACACTACGGACAATTTAGCTTACCCAATTCATCTATAGCGCATGTCTTTGGACTGTGGGGGAAAACTGAGCACCTGGAGGAAACCCACGCAAACGCGGGGAGAACGTGCAAACTCCACACAGAAATGCAAACTAACCCAGCCGAGGTTCGAATCAGCGACCTTCTTGCTATGAGGCGACAGCACTACCTACTGCGCCACGGCGTTGCCCTTTGACTCAAACTATCTAAAAATATAAATTAAATTAAATACAGCATAAATATAAATACTTATATACAAACTCATTTATGATTTTATTTCGTTATTTCTTAAACAGTCAACTGTCTTAATGATTAACTTACTTTAGTTTAAAAATAGAATTAGTCTATTTTTTATGCATTTGTTTTAAATATATTTGCATATCTGTATTGATTTATATAGAAAATTTGAATTTATTAACAGTATTTAAAGGTGTAGTCCAGATTGTATTTTTAAGGTTTGGTTGTGTTTAAGATGCAAAGCAATGTGTGCTCATGCTTCATTTGTAGAAAATCACATTATTTTTCATATACCTTACTTGAATTATATACTGCTACTCTCCTAAAAAGAACACGACTATCATATTTCCTAGTTCCTCTGTAAAGCCCGCCCTCAAGAGATTGATCAGCTAACATAGGAAAAGCATCACACCCCTACAAGCATGTGCTTTTGCGCTGTGTAAACACTGTCAGTCAGAGTAGCTGTTAGCCATATCAGTTTGTGCCTGAATCAGACAGAAAATGAAGAGGACACAGCTAAACCTCATACTTGCTCTCTAAAATAAAACCTGACAAGTGTCTTTCATATATATTCGGAATAAGCATGTGTATGTAATATGAAACCTTTTGTGAGTTCGTAACTTGAGATGTAGAACACATGGAAAGTGACTGCATAGAGAAACACTGCAGCCCTGGTGAAGATTGTGAGTGTTTACAGCGATTTGACAGATAAATATGAATTTGTAGCTAAATTTTAAACTGTGCCAAACAGCATTTTCTGTTGTTTACATTCTTGTTTACGCCCTTGCTACTACATACTGTTAACGCTAGAAACTTACTTACAGACAAATACTTACAGATTGTGGCTCACAATCCACAGCTTCAGCTATTATTGTTTGAGAAGATTTTAGCCGAATCAAGCACTGAACTGGAAGAGATTCTGGAAGTTCTCCTTTGTCAAATGCTAGAGCTATATATTTTTTTTATAATTCTAACAAAATTAAAATTAAACTGTAAGCACATCCTACTTTGTGTCACGTCCTTTGGAAACCCAAAAACAGAAACAGAACAAGCTCTGTGAAAATAGCAGCGTTTGGAGGGCATTTAAGCTTTATTTGCTATAACATTACAGTGCCTCTGGCCACGACCCTTTGCTGCACGGGGTGTATGCGTGTGGTGAATCTGTATAACCTGAAGTGTTTGTGATGTCACTAGTCCAGATGTTTTTTTTTGTAGTCCCCAAACTTCATTCGCGGTATGCTTTGCTAAGCTCTGTAAAAGCCAATGTACCTCTATGAATTGTATTTTGAGCCTATTACATTTAGAGATGTTGTTAATGTCCAAACAGCAACATTACACATCAACTAAAGTTTAAAATATGATATCGTAGTGGACCACCCCTTTAAGGCAAGCATAGTATAAGTAACAGTGAATAAAAATGAATAATAATCCACTACCTAACTTTTTAAATGGAAAAGTAATTTAATTACAGTAAACTAATTACTTTGTGATTAATTACTCCCAACACTGTCTGTACTTTATGTCAGCATTTTAATGTGAGTAACATTTACATCACTACAGCTAAAATAATGTATTATTGAGGTTCAAAATAGTTATTATAGTATTTTTTTATATTTGTATATTGTATTATACAATATACTTATATATTTGTGCATTATATATTGTATTTTTTATATATTTGTATTATAATTATTAATGTAATCTTTACTGTGAATTGTTTGTGAAATAAACCTGCTGTAAAAGGTGTTTACGCTCACTGTATGTTTCAATGTGGACATGTTTTTACATGTGTATAACCAAACGCAGAGAGTAGGTTTATTTATAAAACAAAAATAATTTTTAACTACACAAATTAATGCAATTTTCCTACTGCTACAGCGCATAAAAGATATAAAGCCAGAGCAGTTATTTAACTTCTTCTTAATAAAATCTAAACACAGTTTGCCTAGCTACATTTATCATTGTATGTTTATATTCTTCAGCACACATAATAATAATCATAAAGACAAAAGTGTAGATTAAGTGAACTCAATGATGCTCACCCTGTGTGAGTGTGATGGCCTCAGGATTCACTCCAAACTTTATAGTGGCACGCTGTTGAGCCTCTGCAGCACTTCTGCCCCAAACCCAATGCTCCTGCTCATGACACAGTGAAGAACAGTCATAAAAAACAGGTAGAGGGCAGATCAAATCAGGGCAGATGTCAGATTATATTTTCACAAAGATTTCTATATAAAATTTAAAATGATATCATCATCATAGGTATGCACAAAAGGCCTTCATATCGGTATTGGACAACAAACGCAGATTTTTGAAGTTGTCAGCATTATGCAACAAGAAAATAAACAGCTGATAAAAAAAAATCATGGATTATTTCCACTTTACATGTGCTGCTTGGGGTTTTCATTTGTGCCTTTGGAAGAGTTTATTCTAAAAATAAGACAAAATATCAGCAGTATGGGAGTTTTCATTGAGCAAAAAACAAAAAGTGGATGTCATAAATACAATCTGTAAACGATTTTAAGAAAATGCAGCTGTCCACTGTATTTATTTACCTTTTTTAGTAAAATTCTCAGAAAAATCTATTTCAAGATTTGTATTTGTTGGCCTACACATCGGTTATCCAGATATCAGTTATCGTTATTGACCTAAGATTCAATATATTCAAGTTTTAATTCACTTTTATGTTGTAGAAAATACAATAAATGTCATTATCATATAGTGATGCACAATATATCGGCCACTATATCAATATGGGCCAATAAATGCAGACTTTTTTAATTTTGTCAGTATTGGGTCATGAAACTGATAAATTATGAATTATTTACACTTCTGAAGTGTGATGCTGGGTTTCTTTACAGGTGCCTTTGAAAGGCTTTATGCTAGAAATAAGACAAAATATCGGCAGTATGGGAGTATTTCATTGAGGGAAAAAAAACCCAGGATGTCATTAAATACAATCTGTAAAGGATTAAGAAATTGCAGGTTATTTATTTAGCCTTTTTAGTAAACAGGCTCGGAAAAATTTATTTCAAGATTTGTATTTTTTGGCCTTTATATCGGCCTAAAGATATAAGGAGTTATCGGTTATCGTTATTGACCTAAGATTCAATATAATCAAGTTTTGATTCACTCACTTTTATGTTGGTAGAAAATACAATTAATGTCATCATCATAGTAATGCACAATGTATCAGCCACAAGATTTGTATTTGTCTGCCTAGATATCAGTTATCGGCTACGATATATAAGGAATTATCGGTTATCAATATCGACCAAAGATTCAGTATGATAAAGTTTTAAAGTTCGCTAACACTCATATTATAGAAAATACAATAAATGTCATTATCATATAGTGATGCGCAATATATCGGCCACTATATCAATATGGGCCAATAAATGCAGACGTTTAATTTTGTCAGTATTGGGTCATGAAACAAAAATTATGGGCTGATAAATTATAAACTATTAACACTTCTGATGTGTGATGCTGGGTTTCTTTACAGGTGCCTTTGAAATGCTTTATGCATGAAATACGACAAAATATCGGTAGTATGGGAGTATTTTATTGAGGAAAAAAAAAAACAGGATGTCATAAATACAATCTGAAGAGGATTTTAAGAAATTGCAGGTTATTTATTTAGCCTTTTTAGTAAACAGGCTCAGAAAAATTTATTTCAAGATTTGTATTTGTTGGCCTTTATATCGGCTATCGGCTTCCAGATATAAGGAGTTATCGGTTATCGTTATTGACCTAAGATTCAATATGATCAAGTTTTGATTCGCTCCCTTTTATGTTGGTAGAAAATACAATTGATGTCATCATCATAGTGATGCACAATATATTGGCCACTATATCAGTATTGGGCGATAAATGCAGACTTTTAATGTTGCCAGTAAAGGGTCATAAGATAAAAAAATAAAAATGTAGCTGATAAATTATTGATTATTTACACAATAAATGTGCTCTTTATACTGGTGCCTTTGGAAAAATGTATGCTTCAAGTAATATCGTCAGAGTTTTTCATTGACCATAAAAGAGGACTTCATAAATGTAGTATGGAAATGATTATAAGAAAATGTATATTCACACTGTGTGTTTTTTTACTCTTTTTGTAATCAGGTTTAGAAAAATGTCAAGATTTCTATTTGTCAGCCTATATATCTGTTAGTGCCTTCTAGATATTAGGAGTTATTATCAGTCCTTGCTATTGACTAACATGATAACTTCTATGTGATTAAGTCTCAATTCCCAAAAAAAATATGTTGTGGAAAGTACATTAAATGTCATCTTTGGGTAATAGATTTTATACCCCACCTCTTCTGTGTTCATCGAGTTTTGCAGTGTCACTCTATAGGCTGGTATCTGATGACCCCACCAAAGCTGTCTGGAAACACACCAGTCACTGCAAGGTGAAGATAAACATGTCACAGAAACTTAATAAAGCATGAACCCGAAAGAATATTAACAGAAAAGATGAAGGGACAGGCATGGGCATAACACTTATTATACAGTGCTTCTTTTGCTTTAAATAGATAGCACACCCAAAATTGAAAACCTATTTGAGATTCTTATTCTGCTGAACACAAAATCATTTTTTTTTAACAATTCTGGTAGCTGGTACCCACTGACTTCCATAGTCATTTTATTTTTCTACTATGGAGATTGATAGGTGCAAGCAACCAGCATTCTTTAAAATATCTTCTTTTGTGTTCAACAGAACAAAGAAACTCACAAAACCACATGAGGGAGAATACATGAGTTAATTATTGTAAATTAATAGGCTAACCTGATGTTGGACAACCAGCTCTTCCACATTTTTGAATAAAACTGAGGAATAATCTGCAGATCTCCTTCTTCCACTGCCTAAACAGAGCATTTGCATGACATGTCAACGATGTTTGAGCTAACCAAATCTTTAAAAAGAAATGTCTAATTTCCTAAGCAAATTAGAAGGGTCACAGTATTACTGACTAGTTACAGGAATTTGTTTTCCAGTAAAGCTCTTGATGAGCCACACATTTGATCGCTTGAGGGAATATTGACAGGAAGAGTTAATAACCTACAAGTACGTCAATACAACAAGGACATGTAAACAAATCTAACATTATGCAAACTGAACTGGTTACAGGAAATGTACTTGACTGTGTGATATAAACTTTCATTTATTAGGTTAATAAATTAATTATTTTATGCTCATCAGGCCTGCATTTATTTAATACAACAGTTAATTACACATTAGATTTTGATTAATAATTTGCTGCTCATAAATATTTAAAATTATTATTATTTCAAACTAATTATACATACATACACTCACATATAATAAAAATAATATATAATAATAACAATAATAAATTATATATATATTTGTGTGTGTGTGTGTGTGTGTGTGTGTGTGTGTGTGTGTGTGTGTGTGTATATACTGTTGAAGTCAGAATTATTAGCCCCTTGTTTATTTTTTTCCCCCCAATTTCTGTTTAACGGAGAGAAGATTTTCTCAACACATTTCTAAACATAAAAGTTTTGATAACTCATTTCTAATATCTGATTTATTTTATCTTTGCCAAGACTACAGTAAATAATATTTTACTAGATATTTTTCAAGACACATACATGTGCCATATATGCCAGAACACACAAAGAGGCAGTTTTAAATATTTAATACATGGAAAGAATTACTTGAATATAAAAAGTAATAACTATGCCTGTCTATGCAATACAGTGGAATACTGCTACCACCCAGTTGTATTAGTTTTCTACCATCTGAATTTCGCAGAATGAATCAACACTCATCAGACCAGGCAATGTTTTTCCAAGCCTCTACTGTCCAATTTTGGTGATCCTGTGCGTATTGTAGCCTCAGTTTTTTGTTCTTAGATTTCAGGGCTGGAACCCGATGTGAACTTCTGCTGTCTCAAGGTTCGATGTGTTGTGCATTCAGAGATGCTCTTCTGCATAGTTCGGTTGTATTTAGTGGTTATTTGAGTTACTGTTGCCTTTCTATCAGCTTGAACCAGTCTGGCCATTCTCCTCTGACCTCTGGCATCAACAAAGCATTTGCGTTCACATTACTGTCGCTCACTGGATATTTTCCCCTTTCCTGACCATTCAAGAGATGCTTGAGTGTAAAAAATCACAGTAAATCGCTAGTTTCTGAAATACTCAGACCAGCCAGTCTGGCACCAACAATCATAAAGTCACTTAATTCATCTTTTTCCCCCATTCTGATGCTTGGTTTGAACTGCAGCAAATCGTCTGGACCATATCTACATACCTAAATGCAATGAGTTGCTGCTATGTGATTGGCTGATTAGATATTTGCGTTAACGAGCAGTCGGACAGGTATATGTATATAATTTCTTTTTCATCTTACTGACCCCAAAGCATCATGCATATTTTTAACTTTTAATTAAAAAGATCTTGCGTCGTTTAGTTCATCAGTGCAATTTAATCTGACGCAACTGCACATATAAATCCCACTCGCTCACCTGAACTGCTTTTTTGGCCATTTCCTGACAGCGCACAAACCACTGTTTCTTCAGCAAGGGTTCGATGACATCTCCAGAACGGCTATGTGGGAGGAATACAATCAAGACAGGACACAAGGTCAAATACTTCTGCTGTTTTTTTTTTTTTTGCCAAACCTGACAAAAATATTTTAAATGAACGGCCTGTCAAAATAGTACACAAAAATGTGGTGAAACATAGCCAGATAATTCAGTAGCCAGAAAAACTTTCAGAAATGGGAGGATGAGGTAAGATTTACAGGTTGTGGGCTCATGTGTGGCTTACCTGCAGATTGGTAATGACATTGGATGATCCTTCTTTCCTCTGAAAAGCTTCCTCTCCATCAGAGCAGAGATTACTCGTTCTCTGGCATCAAAACGCTTAACACCCTGAAAAACAGAAACAGACATTAAATACATTTGCATTCATAGAAACAGCACTGTAAATATGGAGATACAGCAAGTCTAGAGCTGTCATGATCATTCACTAAAATTAAAGATGACTTGAATAACCCTTAAAGACATTTTTTTCCAATCACACTGTCCCATTTTTAAACCCAGTTCATTGCAATATGCTTCATATTGTTATGGAATTAGTCAATTAAAAGTGGGTTAAACTACAGTTATGTTGTATGCTTTAATTTAAGTTAAGCATTGACCAATCAGATGCTGTTATACATGGCATTAGATCTGTGTTGTTTATGTTTTAGTTAGTATGCCTACAGGCTCTATTTTGGATGTTCCAGCCAAATTCAACAGTATATTATATTATATTATATTATATTATATTATATTATATTATATTATATTATATTATATTATATTATATTATATTATTACTTTTATGCAACATTTTAAGCCACAGAGACCTAAACATGGACATTAATAATAGATTCTCTCTTTTTTTGCATTTTGAGCATTTAAAAGTCATTGGGAAGACTTTTGTTAACAAAGACATTCAGACCAGGAGAGTATTAAATATACTTTAACTTGTGATCTGGATGCATTGATTTTAGAGCCATTTTGTTCTCTCAATTTTATTTATACCCGTCTGATATTCCTACAGCTCACTGCCTGTAAACCTGCTCCATACTGCTAATGCATATTTAGAGGCCTATAATACAGATCTTTGACCTTTATAAAAGGCAACAGACCTTCGATATGTTCATCTCTGAGTCCTCTGACACCCTGTAAAGTTTGACGACCCTGACATATTCCTACGCCTCACTGACCCCTGTAAAATGTACTGAAAACACACATTCAGATGCCTGCAGCTACTTTGACCTTTAAAAAAGCAATCTAGAAGACTGAAATAAATGTTCCTCTCATAGCCTTTAAGCTGAATGGATTTCACAGTGTAAATATTTCAGATCAATGTTGAGCAATAAAGGACCATTCACAATAAAGATTAATATAACTGTAAAGATTTATAAATCATTCAGATTCTGTGAGAATGAGGAGGTGTATAATAATATGACTATAAGAATAACCACAAAGAGAAAATGTATAGTTGTAATAATTAGTGGTGTAACAGATCACCAATCTCACGGTTCGGATCACACTACGGTTTTTGATTCATGGATGGGACCATTTTTCGGATCAGCAAAAAAGGGAGGAGACAAATGTCATTTGCTTTTCTATTTAAACTAAAGTATTACTGCAAAAATTATTGGTTTTAACAAACAGAACTTAGAACCTGTAATTTTAATGAAAAATAAAAATGAAGAAAGAAGCAGCTAATAAAAGGAAAATATTCAATATGAAAAATGATCTTTGCTACTGTTCCGGTTATTGCTGAATATAGAAATCTACATCTTATACAACATATCATATTTATTTTCAATTAGCGATTCACAAATTCACACATAAAACTTCATGTTTGATTATAGGTGCATCATTTTTGAAAACTTATTTAGAGACATAATTTTGATATTTGTTCACGCCACCCATTGTGAGTCACCAGCATCATGTTCCATTAAACAGTGATTTTAATCTTTACCATAAACATCGGTGTTTAGATCTGAATTATAAACTGTTCTCCCAGTACTTCTGTGTTATTTAATTGTTAGTAACTAACTGAAGGTTTAAATGCAATGCTCTGAAGGATTAATAAACATTTGCAAACCATTATCATTTATCAATCATGGGTTTAAACTGAGATCACGATATTTTATTGTTTAATAGTTCAGCTTTTCACTGAGTGTATTAATGCAGGCTAAACAAGCAGTGACAGAAAACACCTTTTATTAGCAGCCTACGAAAACATTTAGGTAAGTCCCACCACAGCGTTTTCTGCCATCATTATATTTTACAGGGAAGCCAAAATGCTTTTATATACGATTTGAATGACGCGGGAGGTGATCTCTCTGCGATCGTTATAAGTGTTAGATTGACCCACAAATTCACAAAAAGTTATTAATCCGCAGGTCACGTGCGTTTCGAACTGTGCGTTATGATCCGTAGGGATCACAGATCAAGTGTGATCCGTTACACAACTAGTAATAATCAATTTAAGAATTTTAGTTTTCAGCCATTGGACAAAAAAAACATTTTTCAACAACTAATTAATCTGATGAAAGAGAGTGATTAGACAGACAGACAGACGGACAGACAGACAGACAGACATACGGATGGATGGACGGACGGACAGACAGACTTTGGGACAGACTTTTAATAAAAAAAGTTTAAGAAAAATGGCTAATTCCCTTCAAAACCCAGGTGAGCAAAATAAGTATATTTTCTACACCACTAAAGACTTATTTCTCATTATCTAGTTAATAACAAAATATATACTACGTGTCCTCGTGTTGTTTCCAAGTCACTTCTCGCGTGTGTTTAGTTGTGAGACAAAGTTTACGGACCGAGACAAAGTTGTCTGGGATTCTTCCAATAGTAAGGTCAAGCAGTATGTGTAAACAACATCAACTAAACGCTACCCCAGATAGTCATGCAGTGATGCAGTGTGAAAACATCCGTGACGTGACTACTTTGAAAATCATGGACTCTGAACTTGGCATAAGAGGCATTTTAAAATATGATGCACAAATTAGGGTTCATACACATTTTTACTACAAAAATTCCAAGACTTTTAAAGGACTTTCGAGTCAATTTTCATGACATAATGTTTCATGTACTGTCTATATATATGTGGTAAATCATTAAAAAAAACAATGAACGTATACATTTATTACAGCATATCATAAAACATGCAACAATCGCATTAGTTTTAATTTATTTTTCTATCTATGTAAAATAGATGAGTACACAGCACTAATTATGTGAGAGCATATTTTTGACCAAGAAAAGAAGTAAAAACAATTAACCTCCATTGCAGTATACAGATATTTGTTAAACTAATTTTAGATGATAACAGTTTGTTAAACCAGTAATAGTAGGTAAAACTTCTCACACTGCACAAAGCGATCACACTGCACTTTTTGCTCCATAGACTTCCGTTCATAGGCATGCAAATGCGGTAGACCAAAAACGCAAGCATGTGCGACAAGTTTCGCATTTCACTGCATTTAAAAATTTAAGCTTGGTGAATTCTTACCTACGAAATCACATCAGGTAATTGCGTGAGACCAATAAAAGATAATTTAAAATAAGACATTTCAAATTTGTAGCAATCGCTCACTTTTATTAATGTCTAATCATATTGTTTAACCTCACCCCTTTTTGCAGCACCGTACAACAGAATTTCACAAGCTCAAGCTGGAGTGTGACCGCAGCTTAAGTCGCTTTGGACAAAAAACGTCAGCTAAATGACTAATATAAATGTAATTTACAGTGTTGTCTCCATACATTTTCAGTTTTTCCCAGAGATAGTATTAGTACTATTTTGAATCTGCTGCTATGCTGTTGCATAGAAGTTTGTAGCTCCGACCTCTTTGACAGTCACCAAAACGGCACAATTTAGATCAAAACCTAAAAGGTGCAGTTTCAAAGAGTTATAAAAAAATATCTGTAGGGCATTTTGAGCTGAAACTTCACATACACACTCTAGGGACATCGGAAACGTATTTTAGATCTTGTAAAAAGGCCATAATAGGTCCCCTTTAAAAGTGTATTTTAGCCATTACAAAAAAATGCCTCTGTACTCAAATTGTGGGGAATTGAATACTTTTTCAATCACTAAACTAAACTCAAATGTCAATCAATCTCTGTACCTCTAGCCATTGGCCACAAACTGATGTCATGGTTCCGTTTCCTCCAATCACAGTGAGGCGAGGGAGCGAATGCTTCTGAGAGAGTAGGAAGTCAGTGTGGTCATGAGCTGGAGTCAGTTTAACAGCACCTGTAAAGGTAAGGGTGAAAGTCTGGAGATTAATAAATAAGCTGTCAAATTAATAAAACATTGCTTACATTGTGTGGCCAACTTTGATCCAACTCATATATGGTCCCTACAATTTTAATCCAAAGTGAAACGTCCTTAAATTGGGAAGCTACCTGTGCCAAATGTCATATCCACCGTAGTGTCAGTCACAATGGGTAATAACCGCTCAGTGAAAGGATGCCTGCAGCGTTTGCCATGAAGATGCTGACAAGAAGTGAATAAATAGAATGGCAAAAAATGTTGAAGCGATGATGAGAAACTAAAAAATTCACATTAGCAGAGAAAATTAGCATACTATAGACCACGAGTTCTCAAACTTGGTCCTGGAGGGCTGGTGTCCTGCAAATGTTCGCTCCAACTTGCCTCAACATACCTGCAAGGATGTTAGAAAGCCTAGTAAGAGTAAATTTGCTAGCCCAGGTGTCTCTGATAGGGTTTGGAACTAAACTTTGCTGGACACCGGCCCTCTAGGACCAAGTTTGGAAACCCCTGCTATTGACATAATGCAGACTAAAATTAATCAAGTGTGACATGAGGAGCAAACAATGTCCCATTCAAACACAAAATAGACAACAAACACTCTATTTTAAAAACCAAAATAAGCATTTTACTTTATATCGAGGGTCATCAGGATGAACAGCAATGGCCACATCTCCCAGCATTGTCTCTGGACGAGTGGTTGAAACTGCAACTTCTCCCTCTAGAACAAAAATAAATCCCACATTTGAATCGAAGGAGTACAATAATAGCCTATGAGACGGAGCAAACCTCCACGCACCCTGTCCCTCCAAAGGATATGCAAATGTAACCATTGTCCCGAATTCCACTTTCTGCTCATAGCCGGGAACAGACAGAAGAGTCCTGCCGGGAAGCTCCTTTGAGTCCACCTTTACGTGTTAAATGGTGCGTTAGTTTATGAGACATGTGAGGTGTTGCTAGTGTTGATAAAATAAAGTTGTTCAGCGATGCACCTCTATATCTGAGATAGCAGACTCTAATGTACAGCTCCAGTTGATCAGACCTTCAGCACGATAGATGAGTCCAGAATCACACAGCCTGACAAACGCCTCCGTCACAGCACTGCTGAAAGCCTACAAAGAAAACAAAATATTGACATAAAAACTTATTTAACTTAACTCTTTGCACATTTTAATTGTTTTTTAATGACTTCAGAGTCAAGAAAGAAATGTTGAAAAATAAAGTTGATTCTGGTTTATTCGTCACAATAAAAATACTTTCAAAAGATAATTTCACTAAATGTTGACTTGAGGTGCACTTAAAATATTATGGGCTCTATTTTGACGGTCCATGTGCAAAGTGCAAAGCGCAGGGCGCAAACGCTTTCAGAGCGTGTCAGAATCCACTTTTGCTAATTTAAGGACGGGAAAATCCGCTTTGCGCCGTGGCGCATGATCTAAAAGGGTTGAGATTATTTTCTTAATGGGTTATAGGTGTGTTTTGAGAATAAACCATCAGAGTCTCATCTCCCATTCCCTTTAAGAGCCAGTTGCGCCGAACCATAAACACATTTGCTATTTACATGACAACTTTGTAAATGGAAAAACTGAGCATTTCACTAGCAAGAAAACAGTTAAACAGAGCATCTGCAGCGCGAGAATGAGAGATAAGGCATCTCATAATCTACTTTCACTTTTCGCTCTCGTGGATAGGGAAATCTTGTTCGCACAGACATCACTTGGTCTATAAATAATTAATTTTGTTTATTAAGCGCAAAGATTTCTTTTAAAACTATTTCAAAATTCAGTTCTAATTTCCAGCAAACAAATAAATGAACAATAATAACGAAGTGTGGTCAAAAACCTGATTTATTTCCTAAAACACATGCTGTGGCCCATATGGTCTAAAACCTGCAGGTGGGCAAATCTAAGTTTGTTTTTAATAAAACAAATATAAATATGGATATAATAAATAATACTGCAAATAATAATAACATTATACAAAAACAAATTGTTATGAATTAACTGAAAAAGCCTCCCGAGATGAAGAAGGCATGAAGGCAGTGGTTTTTCATATTTATGTAGGCTACAAAATAATGTTTTGTAATATTTATATCCTTTATATTTATATCCTTTATATTTATATCCTATATATATATATATATATATATATATATATATATATATATATATATATATATATATATATATATATATCCTTAATATTGTAATTATTTTTTATATGTAAAGATATTTGCGTATTGCTCTACATCTTGTGTGTATTAAGCAGTGTATAAGCGAGGCGCATACTCCGCGCTGGACAATAGACCGGCTTTGTGCTGGTCTATTGAAAAATCTTTCCATTTTTCACTGGCTCTCGCTTCCCAACTAAGCTACCTAAGAGTAGCAAACTCTTGTTCACGGAGTCCTGGGACTTACCGGGTCCATGGTAAAACAGGCTCTGCTCCAGTCAAGAGATGCACCCAGTTTTCTCAGCTGGTGATAAATCTCATCCCCTTTTCTAAAAATAGACAAGTTAATATAAAAACAAAACCAGCTGTGATAGACTTTCTTTCCAATTGTGACACATTTTATTTTGATAAAAAAAATTAGAAGGGAACTGAAAAAAAAAAGTTAATAATGATGATGACATAAATTAATTACAATTCAATAACAGCCACTTCCTAAAATACTTCATAATGCAACATCATTTTAACTAAATAATGAGTCGTTCGGCAACGTGAGACATTCAAAGTCCAGAAAAAAATATTTATCGTCAAAACATTCCATGCCACATACGAAGCTCAAAGAAGTTTTGTGAGCAAAAAAAAAAACTTTTGATTACCAATGTTTGCCACATCAGATCAGGCTGTGCATTTACTACAATGTTAGTACAAAACTTATGTGTTGTGCTGCTGACTCTAAAAGCCAATATGTTGTATAGCCTGTAGTAAATGTGCGCCTTGACCAGACACTGAAATTTTTTGTGCACAAAAATGTTCTTGGAGCTTCATAGGTTTGATGATGTTTATTTCTTTCTTTTCTGGACTTTGAATGTCTCACATCCCTGGCTATGAAGGGTCAAAGTAATTTCACTTAAAAACTTTTTAACTTGTGTTCTGAAGATGAACAAAGGTTTGGGGTATTGGAATGACATAGGAGTAAGAAATTAACAGGATTTTGGGGTGAACTAATCCTTTAACTCCTTCCACGCCATTGATGAGATCACCCATGAATTATGAGAAAACGCTTCCCTGCCATTGTCGAGTACTTATGATAATCTGTGTTTTAGGTATATGATGGTAGGAGAAGCATTAATGCATGTTCTGAGGGAGAAACAGGGCTTCTCTCTCCAAAGATAAAAATAAAAGACACTCAATGAAAGAGAAAATAAGATCGTGTTTGTGTGGGTATGAACTATATACTACATATAGTAAACAATACACTACTTTTAGAAAAATCAATTTTCTCAGTTTTTTTTTTTTTTTTTTTGGTCAAAGATTTGATAAAAAATTTTAATAATGAAATCTACGTGTAGTTGGGATAAAACATGAACACAAGAAGATAGAATAAAATGCTTTTTGTCTGAAAGCGGAGGATTTTTAAAAATATATACTATGCTCATACGCTCCTAGCAGAAAAACATTCTGAAGGTTGTCAATTTTAGGAGAAAATGGAAAGGGAAAGAGCTAAACAGGTATCAACTGGAATATATGTTATTTAGAAATGCAATAACATTTTTGGCCATAGTAAAGAAAGAGAGAAAGATACTCACTCATTTTTCCACATCCAGACCTGTTTGAGAAACTCCTCTCTGCTGAAATCCTGTCTGCTTTTCCCTTGTTCCCTCAACAGTTTCCTTTCCACCACCGACTATCACACACAGAACCATTAGGGTCAGCAAATTTACATAGAAAATGACACCTCAGCAAGCATCCTCTTTTAGCATTTAACATATGGAGAGATGATACCTGTGTTGCAATCCCAGCATGGTCACAGCCTGGAACCCATAGCACCTTATAGCCCTGCATACGTCGCCTGAACAGAACAAATATTGTGTTATCTTTTTGGACTAAGTCTACATTTACAGACATCCTTATGCATGAAATATAGATGCATTTTATCTTATTAAGTATTAATTAAAGTGTATTTTAAATGGTACCAGCGAGCCAAAGCATCTTCTATTGCCACGGTCAGCGCATGTCCGAGATGTAAAGTCCCAGTCACATTGGGTGGAGGAATACACAAGGAAAAGTGTTTATTAACTGCATGGGGTTGTTTACTCTGAGGAAGAATAATAAAAAACAAATTGTTCAACAATTCTGCAATGCATAAAAACTTTAGAATTCCACCAATTGGATGTTGAAAACAATTGTATCATTCATATGTATAGTTAAAAATAATATAGTTGCTCAACTAAATTAGCTAACTAGTGATGCACGGATGTTTTGGCCACCAGTATATATTGCAGGGATGCACGATATATCGGAGGCCATATGGTTATCGGCTGATAAATGCCATTTTTATGGCCGATTGAGTGCCATTGTGTATTTTGCTTCAAATCGCCTCAGGATAAAAATATTACATATGAAAGCCTTTCCTGCTCTGTCTCTTTGTTGTGTTAGAGATAACAGGGAGATTTACTTATTACTCCAGGGCCGAATAATATTAGTTTCGGTGTGAACTCTTTTAGTTTCAGCCGGGGAATGAACGAGAACCTGTGTATCTTGGTCTCATTGCGAAAAAAGTGCTCCTCATTTCTGTCTCTCCCTCTTCGCTTCACACACACACACACACACACACATACACACACACCAAACTGACAGCACACGTGACGCGCTAAACAAAAACTTTACAGTTTTTTTTTAAAACTTTTTTTTTTTAATCTAATATAATTGTTTGTTATTATCAACGCGTTGGTTCCCATGTGTTGTTGATGTAAGATTGTATTCAATTTGATCGGAATATTCATATGGATTATACCAAGCACGAGTGAGAGCTTTTCACCGCGCGTGCACACACACACATAGATCTGACAGCCTTCACACACACTCTTGAGCCTTCACAGATCAACAGGGGAGAGCCTGGGTGCACCGGTCACTGAATCCAGCATACGGGCCACACGTTCTGTCTTTATATTCTGTTCTGTGTTTGTCATAAAGTCATTTGAGCTCAATGATCTGGTTTGTATCAAAATCCGAGGGCAAATCTGTGCCCTCACAGCGGTTTATCATAAACCTTTCATCTATCATTTTCCCCGCGATTGACAGCAAGAACGAACAACAGAAGCGTTGATGCTACGTGTTCAAAAGAATCTAAAACGCCAAATATGATGAATTTATGTCGCATTTTCTAAAATAATGCATTCTGTATCTAGCTTTTCACTTGTACTGTGGCTCTGAACTGTCAAAACACCTCTAAAAGAGGCTTTTTCAGACAAGACATATTTTTACACATGTACATTACTGTAACACGTTTTATTCAAGAACATATGAGCTGGTTTTAGTCCTTAGCTCTTTTATTTTAATTTCATTTAAAATATATTTAACTTGCTTGTTGATTAAATCCCATTTTGTTATTTAACCTTTTTAATTTTATGCAACAGTCAATTTGCATGTTAATTTGCTATGAAGGAAAGGAAATAATGTATTTTTTGCATGCTGATTTGTGTGAAATCGTGAATATAGGTCTATAATCACCTTGCAATTTTAAAAAATCATAGCTTTTTTGCTTTGAGTATAGGCTATTCAGTTCAAAAGAGCGGAGATTCAGCTTTTATGAAGTTTGCTGTATAAAAATAAAACATTTTGAATTATTTATAATTATCGGCCTATATATATCGGCTATCGGCCTCCAAGTCTGAAGAATTATCGGTATCTGCCAAAAAATCTATATCGATGCATCCCTAATATATTGGCTAATATTAGATTTCATTAAAGCTATCTGCATATCGGCAATAACAACATGAAAAAGGCAGATACTGATAGTTTATTATTTGTATAGAGAAATTGGGTTGCATTTCTTCTGAATAATCAAATGCTTTTCTCAGAGCAAAATATTCAATACTAAAAACTATATTTAATCTGGTCAAAATATCTATTATGAACAAAATGTAAGACTTGTATCAGGAAAGCAACTGGTGTGCACCATGACTCAAGCACTGGCCCAAAACCATTGTTTAGTTTGGGCAAAAATGTCTTGGACAATAAAAGAAAGTGACTGCAATTTTAAGTTTATTAAATATATACAGGGCGAGGCAGTGGCGCAGTAGGTAGTGCTGCCGCCTCACATCAAGAAGGTCGCTGGTTCGAACCTCGGCTCAGTTGGTGTTTCTGTGTGGAGTTTGCATGTTCTCCCTGCCTTCGCGTGGGTGTCCTCCGGGTGCTCCGGTTTCCCCCACAATCCAAAGACATGCAGTACAGGTGAATTGGGTAGGCTAAATTGTCCGTACTGTATGAGTGTGTGTGTGAATGTGTGTGTGGATGTTTCCCAGAGATTGGTTGCGCTGTGGTGACCCCGGATTAATAAAGGGACTAAGCCGACAAGAAAATGAATGAATGAATGAATGAATAAAATATATACAGTATGTTCTATTATATGCAAAATAGAAGTTAATGTTTATTAAAAGAAATACTGAACAGCAAAAATCACAGACTGTCATTTGTTAATTTTTGTATCTTAACTTTTACCTCTCTTAAAATGCTGGAATGCTAAATAAATCATGGTCAATAAAACTAATAGTACTGTACTGTGTGCAACTGACCAATATCGGTATTGCAATCGGCTAATTTATTTTGTTAAAATTGGTATTGTATGAGCCAAAAAATGCTATAGGTGCATCCCGAAAACTACCAATGAAAATAATGCAAATTAAAGATCTGCACAGTTTGGCTAAAATTTAGTCTTATCTTTAAAGAAATTCTGCTCAATAAAATTCAAATAAATAAAAATATTAATAACTAATTAAAATATTATAACATTGTTTAACTGTTATTTTAAAGCTGAAAATTATTCTGAACCATTAGAAAATTCAAAATAGCTGTTTTTTATTTTATTTTAATATACTATGGATTACAAATTATTCTTCATATGCAAAGCTGAATTTTCTGCATCATGTACATTCAAAAATGTATTAAACAGAATTGTAAAAAACATTTATTCTTAATATTACAATTATTATTATTTTCACTATTATAATAATAATTACTATTATTACTATTATTATTACTACTAGTAGTATTATTACTATCATTTTTATTATTTCTATTATTTATAAAGCTGAAAGTTTTAAAATATTAAGTTGAGCTTCTTAATATTTTTATGAAAATATTTTTGGTTTCGGGCGGCACGGTGGCTCAGTGGTTAGCACTGTCGCCTCACAGGAAGAAGGTCACTGGTTTGGCATTTCTGTGTGGAGTTGTTCTCCAAATGTTTGCTTGGGTTTCCTCCAGTTCCTCCGATTTTACCCACAGTCCAAAGACATGCACTATTGGTAAAATAGGTAAACAAAAATTGGCCGTAGTTTATGATTGTGTGTGTGAATGTGAGTGTGTATGGGTGTTTCCCAGTACGGAGTTGCTACTGGAAGAGCATTCACTGCGTAAAACATTTGCTGGAATAAAACATATGCTGGCGACCCCTGATAAATAAGGGACTAAGCCAAAGAAAAATGAATAACTCAATAAGATTTCAATGAGGGCTTCTAATAAACAGTAATAAAAAAAGGGTTTTCATCTTTGACCCTTTTGCATAGTTAAGCCTTCAATTTCATAACAAAATGGAAGTAGTACCTTTTTTAGATTTTAAAATAATTAAAGTAGACTCTCTTACATGCTGCTCGGGACTGAAGAATTCCTGTTTCTCCCACCACTGATACCAGCCAAAATCCACATACTCTGGGCTGTAGGATTGTGGGAAGGGCAGAGTGGTGTCTAAAACAGAGGATATATAAAGGGATTATAGCCATCTCTAATAACTGCATTAGTGACATCAAACTCAAACGCCATCCAAAACATTCGGTCAAATTCATTTACTACCTTCTAATTTCTAATCTACCTTCTGTTGAACACAAAAATTATATTTTTAAGAATGTTGGAAATCTGCAGCCATTAACATCCATACTAGGAAAAATAATAGCTGACGGTTTTCAACATTTTTTAAAATATCTTCAATAGTGGAAATAAATATTAAGTGGATGGTGACTAAATGACAGAATGTTTTTTTTTTTTTTTTTTTTTGCACAAAAAAAAAACACAAAAAGGAAGAGACAAAAAAAAACATCACCTTTCTTCTCTCCAGGTGAGAGTTTAGCTGTGTACTTTATTTTTTCTTTATCTGACCAGCTCAGTCCATCATCATTCACGTCCTGTAAAAAGTTCAGGTTATGTAAGGCTTTAAAGTAAACATAAATGTGTACTATTGCGATGATGATCAACTCACACTACTGAGAATGGCCTTTTCCCGGGCTTGTCTGCGTTTGGCTTTTTCTGCTTGTGTCCGGGAATGACTTAAAGACTGTGTGTTGGATGAGTTTTCAGAGCAGAGTCTGCATCCAAACTTGCTCCAGATCCTGGGTGACGCCACATGCACGGGCTTCCACATGTCCTGAAATCAGAAATCATAATCTGTAAAGAAACATTTCATTTCACATGAAGAATGAATTGTGGCAAACTTGAGAGTAAATCAATTAATGTTTGTTTTTTATTTGTGTATCATATTTAAAACACAAGTAAAAAACAAAACAATATACTTTGATATTTTGTAGATATGGCACCATGTTTTTTAAAGGACCTTGTTGCTCTGTGTGTGTTTTTTTTTAATTGAATGATTTTTTTTTTTTCTAAAAGTAAAACTAAATGTGTTCGGTAATTGCACTAAAGCTGAAACAAAAAAGAATTAGATAAAAACAAAAAAATTACAAAAAGGTTTTGAAAATGTGAAGGTATGAAAATTGTGTTATTCTGGATGATGGCTTGAGCTGTGACAAACAGATAAATGCAGTGGTCAAATTCTTTCAGCTTCAACTTTTTAAAAACAGTCAGATCTATTTCATCTAGAACAAATTTAGAATAAATAATGCATGCTTTTAGTACCACTAGATTGGACTATTGTAACTCATTATACTTTGGGATTAATCAGAAAACCTTATCCTGTCTACAATTAGCTCAAAATGCTGCTGCAAGGCTTTTAACAGGTACCAAGAAACATGACCACATTACACCAGTTTTAAATTCTTTGCACTGGCTGCCTGTGCACTAACGAGTCACTTTAAAAATTCTTCTCTTGGTTTTTAAATCTTTAAATGGCCTGGCACCATCTTATCTGTCAGACACGGTAATTGAGCATCAGCCTAGTCGGTCTCTTCCGACAAACAACCAGAGACTGTTATGCATCCCTAAGTCGAGGATGAAATGCAGGCGTGACCGTGCATCGCAGTAGCTGGTCCTTGGTTGTGGAATGCTCTGCCTCTCTGTAGTAGATCCGTTTCATCCTTGTCTGTTTTTAAATCTAGGTTAAAAACTTATCTCTTTGTTTTGACATTTTATCAATAAAAAATGTTTTAGCCATAGTTTTATATTTTTTCTCTGTTGTGATTTGTACTGTGTAGCACATTGGTCAACCTCTGGTTGTGTTAAATAGTGCTATACAAATAAAACTGACATTGACAAAAGTTTTTTGTTGTAAATTGGCAATAATAAAGAATAAACACTAAAAATCATTCTAGTTATAAACTAACATTTTGTACAGTTTTCTTTTTAAAGATTGTAATTCATTACAGCATCTTTGAACAAATCGGTGTAGACAATAATGCTAACTAAGATGAATAAATGCTTTAGAACAGTGGTCTCAATCTCAATTCCTGGAGGGCCGCAGCTCTGCATACTTTAGCTCCAACCACCTCCAACTCACACCTGCTTAATAGCCTCTAGAGCTGTTTATTAATATGCATTCTTCAGTGATCTTGCGTGCAGAGAACGGAGGATGTGTGAAGGTTCCCAGATGTGTTCTTGGTATCGAGGGCACATCAATGGAGACTTGAGTGTAAAACTCGTTTGAGAAGTCCCAGACGTCATTGAAGCTGAATAAAGGAGGCGGGAAGTACAGCATTTAATATAGATTTATGATTAAAGTTCAGAGATATAACTTATTTGTCTCAGGAGTTTGCCTAAATTCACGGAGATGGTGAAAGTAAACATAAACATGAAAATCTTTATAAAGGCATAAACACATTAAGGGTGTTTAATTGCTGAAATTCATATTAAAGTCTATTTTTTGTATTGTGTAGAGTATATTTAAGTTTGTAAGGTTTTTGTGCATGTTTTTATACATTGAAAATGCGAGAGAGAAAAAATCAGTGGATATATACTGTTATGTTTAAATAATTTCCCGTTAAAAATGAGTGAAGGTCATGTGACTATTGGGAAGAGCGCATGCATCTCACTTCTCAGAGGACGCGTTCTGTGTCCTCACGACCTCCCTAGTTTGTTCTACGGAGGTGACCTGGCAAGACTGGTCTTCACAAGAACACAGGGCCATTCTCTGCCTTTTTGCAATTTAGAAAAAGCCTACTAGTCTTAAACACCTTGATTAGTTGGATCATCTGTGTTTGATTAAGGTTGGAGCAAAACTGTGAAGAGCTGCGGCCCACCAGGAGTCCAGTTTGAGACCTATGCTTTAGTTTAGAACATAAATTTTTCATGCTAACCAGAATAACTAACTTATGTTAACAAAACATAAATAGAAAATACCTGTAAGGTTGTAAATAAATCAAAGAGTATTAATATCATTTTATCAGTATATATAATCACATGCTCAACTGTAGTTTTCAATCAGTTGAATGGTTGGAATGTGCCAGTTGCAGGAATATTGTGCTGACAAAGAGTTGAGTATATGATCAATGAGATTCTACTAAACAAACTGTTTAAACCAATGATTAAAGACAATGCTTCATCATCTGTTTGTATGCCTGTAAAAAAAAGGCCTCCAAGGACTGCCATTTGAGCAACCAGAATTGATCATCTTGTGTTTTTCTTCTTTATTGTTCCCTTTCTGCAAGAACATTACATCTTTGAAAATGAATCTTCCTGGGTCTTTTAGGGGACATTACCTATAATGTGTTTTCTACACAGTATTTCAATGCATTGACATTAATGTAGGTTGAAGCACTAAAGAGAAATGAAATAAATATTTTGAATAAAAAGCAATAAAAATGGCAAAACTACCAATTCAAAAAATAACAATTGCATATTAATAATATAAATTAGTACGATGCCGGTGCAATGTGACATGAATATGACCACCATCATTCAATAGTCTGAAATAATGATATGCAGGGTCAAACGTGTGGAAGTGATTTAGGAAATCGATGAAAGCTCGTGTTTGTGAAAATAATGTAAATAAATACGTCCTGCAACACAATTGCTGGCATAGTTTATAGTACAATACATTTTACAATTGAATGCTGCATACAGAAAATGATAAACAGAAAGTAATGTACCTCCACTCAGTGTGTGCTGTCACAGGGCGCAGACATATTGCGAACACGGCACTGAATTGTCCCTGTGATATTTGAGGTCTAAAATTCCACACGACTTAAACTATTTTGATTAATACACAGCTAAATGTCAAATCCAAAAGCTGTAAGCAACGAAAGCCACATTACAGTCGATATTTCTTCCTTATCACCATACAAGTTCTCGAAGCGTCCTCTGTTTCCGACCGGAGCGTTTTTAGGTGAACACTTAGAGACTGCGTCTCAAATGCTCATACGCTGTCCGCGTAGACAACAGAAATTAGCTAGTGGCGCTTCGCTTTCCAAAACCACAACTACGACTTCTCACAATCATATCTAGCTAGTCAGCTGACTAGTTTTTGAAGCACAGCCAACCTCTCGAACTGGTCCGTCCGCAAACACGTCCTTCCTTAGGAGTGATTAGACTGCTGCAAATTCATCTCATGCATTCATCAGAGATTCATAAAGCGACCACCTCGACATTTTGACACCACCAGCCGACGGCCGAAGTTGTTATTTCCTAAAATCCCAAAACCGAAACCAGGCATTTGTCTATTAAAGGCTATCGAGCGCCGCTGAAAGGTTTTTTCGGGCTTCATCAGTGCGATGGCGGAGGTTCCAGGTACATCGAGTGAGACGATAACGGAGACCGTTCAGACGGGCACACCGCCTCCACCCCAGCAGGTACTGTGTGCCCTAGTTACGGTAGACACCATCACTAAGCAGACGCATAGCAAGTCATTCAGGCCACAGGACTCAGACTAGCAGTCCTAAGCTCTTGTGGTTGATATAATTTACGTTGGTTGTTTAAAATGGACTGTCTAGATACCAGCCATAAGGCCTGTTTTGTAATCAGCGTATTCAGCAGGGTTTATGTGTGCTGACTGGTTTGGAAGTGTGTTGTGATTACAGGTTGACCCACAACATGACAAAAATACAACCGGGTAAATGTATCCTTATTGACATTTACTGTATATGCCATGGTAGTTTTGGTTGCACGATTTTTATGGTTTTGCTTTAAAATGAATTAAAATAGTGGAAAGATTAAATAATGAATAATATTTTTCCACATTTTTATTTAGTTTAATGATATATGAAAACATGACATAAACGGTATACATATTAAAACCTAAATAAAAAAATACAAATATTACTTGATCTAAAATGAAAATTAATATAAAATATAGAGCTGGGAGATATGGCAAAAAGGTATTTTTATTTTTCATATTAATCGATATCGATAATTATTATGATAAATGTTAAATCTTTATATCTATCAATATTAAAGGACTTTCAGCATGCCAATCCCTTTGTGCAGCTGATTTAACATATTTTGTGAAATGTTTTTGCTGTCTGACAATATAAATAAAAATAATAATAAAGAAAAGAACAAACTAACTACTTTTCAACATTTACTGTTCAAGTTTCAGCAACCAAAGACATTACCTACAAGTTACTGTATATTATTGTTCAACATCAGGAAAAAGTAATACCCGTTTGGAACAAGTAAAAGGTGATTTAAGGGTGATAGAATTTACAGTTTTGGATGACCTGTCTTTTTAATGGTGAGGATGGTGAATTTAGAGTGAAATATCCTTTAATTTATGTTATTTAGGGATGCTAACGATTACTTGATGATCTATTGATTGTCAATAACCCTTTAGTCGATAGACCTTATTGATGACTGATTAAGCATGGACAACATTTAATTTCTTTTTTTTGTACTCCTCCATGTGCAGCTAACACTGTAAGGCTGTAAAGTTGTACTATGTGTGGCATCCGGATGTGCAGGCTGCAAAATGCTTGCGCAGTGTTATACATAGTGTATAAACATTATCAAACACTTATCGAACTGTCATTATCGTTTTATCAAAAAAAAAAAAAAAAAAAAAAAAAAAAATATATATATATATATATATATATATATATATATATATATATATATATATATATATATATATATATATATTGTGATAATTATCGTTATCAAATTATTGCCCAGCTCTAATATAATATATAATTTATAGTATAATTATATATTTATAAATGTATATAGTTTTATATATAAATCCCAGATTTTTAAATAAAATTTGACCATTTAAACACATGAAAATAGTTACTGGTAAGGCTGCACACAATATCATTTCAGCATCGATATTGCAATGTGCAAGTCCGCAGGAGTCACATCACAGGGATTTGCAATGTAATGGGGATTATAGTTGACCAGATTTTACAGTTAACTTCATAGCAGAGTAATTTCATATTTTGACCTTAGTGGAAGTTTATTATTTGCATGTATTTTTAAGAACTGACTAAATCTGAAGCAATCTTAAGCTACTTGGGCACAACAAATGGAACATTTGTAGCTTAAAGTTTAGTTGTACATCATTTACCCAATTTAAAAAAAACAGTGTTATTAATATTAATATTCGGTTATTATTATTATTACACAATGATTATTTAATTTCTGCTTCTAAATATTGTTTCACTTCCCAGAAAATCATAAATCATTATTTATTTGCTACTTTTCTCTGCTGTATTTAATATTGCTTGTTTTTTTTTTTATATTTTAAGCAGAGTCATCCCAGTCAATCTAAAATGATCAATTGTTTACAAGCTATTCAAGTCATCTTCTGAAACCGCATTTATATTGCAATATATATCACAGTCAATAAAAAAAAGCCAGTTTTTTCCATGCTGCCCTAGTTACTGTTTCTTTTTACATGGGATTATAAGGATTTTGTTGTGGTTATTTATAACTATTACTATATTTGTATTTATTTCTTCCTTATTTAATTATTTAGTTAAAATAAATTTCAGAAATAAAATATCATGAAATAAACTGCTACAATATGGTTATGGTTTTACTGTAATTTAAGCTAGGGCTGGGCAATTAATCAAGAAGTAATCGACTTTTAAAGCCTATAATCGTTAAAATTTTTTTAGGTAAATTTTTACAGTTACGTACCATGATCTGTTAGGTTGATTTATACTTCTGCGTCGAACGCACAGGTATGTCTTGGCGCAGCCTTCGAGCAGTTGCATACCTGCGCACCACTTGAAAAATTTAACTACACACATCGCACCTTTGCATTACATTGTTGATGATTGGAAGCTGCGCCAGAGATGCCTTCAGACGGCATATTCTCTATTACAGTAAAATTATTATTTACAATAAAATATTTGTTTACAGAAGATTCAGGAAATGCACAGTTTAAAATATTATTTACAGGATATACAAGTTATTTTATTGAGAAGAGATCCTGCTTATTTTCTACTTTTAATATAAAAAGAACACTGAGAATAAATTATTTTGTTTCCAAAAGTTATTTATTTTCACTGTTTTATAAGACAAAACTGACTGTTGGTTTTAGGCAATGTGTGTTTTAATTTCAGTTGTTCATCGTTGATGTTCAGTAAATAGTAGACTGTATTTCCTTCAATTATTTTAAAATCAAAAAATGCATCCTTCTTTAAAAAATCTATCACTTGTAATATGTGAGAATATTTACTGTACATAACCTGTTTGTGAACTATGAGGGCAAAATAAATAAATAAACCAATAAAATGATCATTCATTATTTGTAACTGAGAAAAAATTATCAAATTATTGAGGTTTTGATTTTAGGCCAAATCGCCCAGCCATAGTTTATGTAGAAAATAGTATTTTCATGTTATGTGTCTAACACAAATGTGCACCTTTTTAACCACCAAGCTTGTCGACACTATTATAACGACACAGATCACTCTGCCTATTCATGCCAGAGTCCCACTAAAAAAGTGATTGACAGGTGGTAATTAGTGTAACTTATCTTTATTTATTCATGATTTGGTTATGGGTAAAACAATAAATATGTGGGTCAGGTAATTGAAACAGTAGGCTACAAAAAATTAATTCTTACATAATTAATTCACCGCTGACTACGATGATGATGCCATCGTCCATCGCAGTGTTTTACATTAGTCATTGTACAATGCCAAATTGATCGATATCGCTCAACTCTAATACGGGTTAATATGAATGCAGGTAAATTTGTTTTACAGTGACACAGTAGTTATGTAGTTGTTTTTAGGCCGAACTCTTGTTTGCTATGAAAAAAAGTAGCTATTATATCTATTTATATCTTAAAAAATATCTATTATAATTTACTATTGTCATCATAACGTTTCTCCATGTAATGGTCTGTTTGGTTTTAGGAGGGCAGAAGCCTGACCATCAAGCTCAGGAAAAGGAAGACGGAGAAGAAAGTAGAGTGGTCCAGTGACACGGTGGACAATGAGCATCTCGGCCGGCGGTCCTCAAAGTGTGAGTCTCAGTTTAACACTCAACGTCTGATATTAAAAATAAATAAATCAGTTTCATATTTGGAAACATAACACGGGACAGGCTGATCTGGGCCAGCTTTAAAATAGCTGCCCTTGAAAATCAGATTAAAACAACCCTGCACCTTTTCAAAGCGAATGTCTCATTTCTTGAAATAGAACATGCTCAGTGCTTATTTGGCAACTCTTTGATATGTTCAGGTTGCTGCATTTATGAGAAGCCTCGACAGTTTGGCGAATCTTCCTCGGAAAGCGAGGGTGATGACGAGGAGGGTTGCGGGAGCGCGCATTGCATTCTGGGACATGGGAGAAGAGGCCATGGACAAAGAGAGGGCGGAGGGACCACAGTGCCACCTAGTTCTGGGGGAACAAACCCTCACTAGATGTAAACGCCAGTGGGAGAGCTGTTTTGGAGGGAAGGGAAAAGGGCGGCGTGGGCACTACATTCATAATCCCTCATCCTCACTCACACTCCATTACATCACATCATCACTGGGTGTCAAAAGCTTCTTTTTTTGATGAATGAAAGCTTGAAGAGCAATGCAATGTGATTTGTTTTCTTCACAGTCATTAACGGGATGACTTGGAGAAGACTTTGCGATCTGAATGCTGCCGGAAAATTCACGTTTGTTGTACATAGGCATTGGCTTTTATTTCTTTTTGTAAAAATCTATATTTATTTCTTTATGTTAACAACACGATCTTACCGGTTCTGTGTCCACAACCGTTTTAATGAATCGAAAAACCTTCAAATCTAAGGTTACACCGACTTTAGTCGAATTTAAAAGGAATAAAAAAGGAATTTTATATCAAATAAAAAATTGCCTTGCGGTGTCACAATTCTAGCAGCAGTATTTCTTCATATCACTTGAGGAAATTGAAGCGTTATATGTGTTGTGTGCTATAGTGAATTTCAATAAATGAATAAATACAAATTTCAGGAACTCAACCTTTTGAATATTTTTATGATCAAAACATCTCCATTAGTTTTGAGTGAGTTAGTGAGTCTCCCTTCAGACAATCAGACTAGTCCGCACGAACATACAAAGAAATTGATGTGTTTTTTCTTAGTAGACTGAGAAACATCTGTTATGCTCGAGTTCAGAGCATTAGCTGGATCATTAATCCAAATTAAACAGCAGAGGGTCGCTTAAGGGATAGATTACCTAAAAATGAACATTTGCTGTCAATTCACTCACCCTCAGGTCATCCTGACTTTTAATTTTGTTGACAATATGGAATATTAGCTTAAACTGTGGTCCTTGGTGATTCATATAATGCAAGTCTGACATTTTGAGAGTAAATAAAAGCACTCGAAATAAATATGTGTGACTCTAAAACATGAAACAAAATCTGTTGAAGAAAAAGTCCTCTTGGACTACCGGAGCATGAGTAAATTAACAGCATATTGTCATTTAAACAACAGGATTGATCTATAACGTGTATAATTGGTTTATCATCCCTTCGTTCTTATGCCTTACATGAAATGAGCGATGGAGAATATCAGTCATCATGCGATGTAAGGTACATCATCTCATCCTGGGCTCCATGGCTGCATTTATTTAGCAGAAATTGGCATAAAATCCAGCTAATTATTGGGAACGAAGCATGCCGTCTGGCTTTACGGTGTAAACTGATTATGTTTGGTATAAAGGGTGCATGGCTGAATCCTGGCCAGTGGCCAAGACCAAATGCACATCATCTTTCCACTGATGTCAGATACAGTTGATTCCCATCAGGACCGTCACTGCAGTCATCTGTATCCCAGCATTCACATCAGTCTGTCCTCCCTTTACTCTGAATGCACCTGTATGTACATAGCAAAGGTCATAGAGTGGATTTAACACGAATAAACAGATGTTAAATTATGTTGTTTATATCTATTAAATGCTTAATGACAAAGTGTTTGCTTGTCTTTTTTCTTAGCCCTGTTTTGGTAATTAAAAATATACATTTATGTAAAAATTGTTCATGCATTATTGGTAATAATTATTGAGCGGCCATGTGGAAAATGACAATCATTTCAAAGAGAACTGATTTTGAAATGATTTTGAAAATAATTTTCATTAACCTCAACACATTTATGATCATTTTAGCTCAATAAAAGTGTCTAAATTACAAGTCAAGTGGTTTTAAGTAGGGCTGGGCGTTTTGGCCTAAAATCAAAATCTCGATTAATTAAACATTTTAACTCGATTACGATTTAATGAATCATTGTTTTATTGATTTATTTTAGTTTTTGCTCTCATAGTTCACTGTTTTGTACAGTAAATATGCTCACATATTACAAGTGAGAGATGTTTAAAAGAAGGGTGCATTAATTGATTTTAAAATAATTAAAGGAAACACTATAATAATGATTATTTATTGAACACCAGTGTTAAACAACTGAAATTAAAACACACATTGCCTAAAACCAACAGTCACTTTTGTCTAATAAAAAAGTGAAAATAACTAACTTGCCCTTTTGGAAACAAAATAATTTATTTTCAGTGTTTTCATATTAAAAGTAGAAATAAGCAGTATCTCTCCTACATAACTCTTGTATATCCTGTTAATAATATTTTAAACATTTCTTGAATCTTCTGTAAACAAATTTTATTGTAAACAATAATTTTATTGTAATAAAAAATACGCCATATCAAAGCATCTCTGGCGCAGTTTCCAATCATTGTCGATGTAGTGCAAACGTGCAATGTTTAGTTACATTTTTTGAGAGGTCCGCAGGTATGTGATCGCATGAAGGCTGCGCCGGATCGTAATGTGGGTTCCACGCAGAAGTATAAAAGAGCCTTAACAGAGTGGGGTCACGTGACTTCATACTTGGTAAGGAAAGTAATTAAAAAAATTCACCTGGAAAAATAAGATAGATTATAGGCTCTGATTGTCGATTCCGATTAATTATCGATTAATCGCCCAGCCCTTGTTTTAAGTATACATTAATCATTTGTTTTTTAAAAAATATTTTAAAGATATGACCAATAGCAATTTGAAAAAATATAGCCAAAAATTTTTAGTTTTGCTTAATGAGTCATTTTGGACCCATTCGTTTGTATATAGCACCTTTTGGTGTTAAATAATCTATGATGTTATATCAGTGACGGAAAAATTTTTTTTGTAAAATACACAGTCGTTTCCTGTATCTTACATTTACAAACTGTGTAGAATTAATGCTACTAAAAGTTTATCTCAAAGGTTCCAATAACTTCAAACTTGCATCAAAATTTGGATGACCATTTTCGCAGCCATGACTTGTTTGGCTATTATTTCTTATACTTGACAGGAAATGTTGAGGATAAACATGAATGTCATAATTCTTGAAATAGAAATCCTGGTTCAGTTTGACTAACTATAAGCACATTTTGTTCCTCAGACAGGCTCCTAACTCTCTCTTCTGATTTATTTGTTTCTTTAGGCAATCTATAGTGCTGTACATGTTTGTTTTTATAATCGGTTGGATTAGTACATCCAAAAACATGACAACTATTGATCAATTTCAGCAGCGATAATCAACTAAATATATCAGTTTCATTAAAAGTGGCATTGATTACATTCTGTACCTCCAATATGGCTAATGGGCTACATGCACACAGACTTTAAATTTCAGTCGGCCAGCCCCAGGGATTCTGGTTAATTGTCACCCCATACAAAATTGCCGCGTTTAAGTGGTTTCTTTAAAAAAAAACTGTGATCTTCAGTGCCTGGCTAAGACAAGATATAAAGTGGGTATCAGACCAAACTAGAAGCACTGCATTAAAGTATATTTGTAATTTTTCTAAATAATAGAAATGAATTTAACTACAGTATTTTCAAAGGAATTTCTGCACTAGCCTAATGATGATAATGGTGTCTGCGTTTAAATGGTCTTTTGACTCTTTTAACGCTTTAACAACCAAATGGATGCCTAAATCTATTTAACTTATTATTTTTGAATTACAACATCAGTGCTGTAAAAGGAGCCTTATGAAATTGAAAATAGTCACATACATCTTTCAGCAGATGTTCATCATTGGTTGACAAACACCAGCTTTGCATATTCCCCATTAATTCCACAATGTGAATGCTCGATTCATCTTTTTGAATAACCACAGTTGCCATCTCTATTATAGCACAACTTTTAGTTGGAACTGATATAGAGAATTTGGTGGACAAAACCATCGAGAAAAAAAAAAAAAATTCTCATAACCGATACAATCCATGTCCACATTTGTCCATGTCAGTTTATATAAGAAAGTCATCACACAGACAGACTCCAGACATGAAATGTGGAGAAAGGAATTTATTTTAAACTGTAAAGACTATTAAAGACTCAGTGTTTAGCACTTAAGAACTGTAGATGTAGGTCTCTCCATCTGTGTCCCACAATCTTTAATACATCAATCTCTGAGCTGCAATCGACATCACCCTACAGCAGATTTCATTTCTCTTCACAGCCTTCAGGGCTTCAGCAGTGGTCCACACATTGGTGGACTCAAGACTTACAAAAATGAAAAACATTTTAAAGACCCTTTAAATGGTTACATGTTTTCTTGCATTGCTCAAATTTGAAGTAAACGACGATTCTAGAGCTACTTTAAGTTTAATGCTTAAATAACAAACGTGAACAACGTTCGAGCCAGTACCCTAAAATAAACAAAGTCATTCACAATGTAAGAGTTTTCCGCAGTTCTATCTTAACATGCATAGATAAAAAGCTATTTGTTGAACACATTCGGGAAGAGAAAGCTATTCTTGCAAGCGCTAAACACATTTGTGCAACAAAGCATTGGATATAATGCAGCTGTGCAAAATTACTAAACTTCGTTACCCATAATTCCCTGTGAACTGGCCAAATAACCAGACATTATGAGGCACAAAAGATATAATCGATTGAAATAAAGAATGGCAATACATTTGAAATCAATCATAAACATGCTGTTATGAAGCTTACATTAACATTTGTCAAACAGAGTGGTTTTAATGCCATGTTTACCGGGTTAAAAGATTGGAAAATATAATCAATAAAGTAGTGTGCAGATTTGCTGCTTTTGAAAAGTGGTTTAAGTACAAGTAGCATCCAGATCCTTTACAACTGCTCTATAAAAGTTCATTGAGATAGTTTAGAAGTGAACAAGTGGGTTGAATGAAGGATGGAAGATATAATGGACTCAATCCATTAAACGGACGAGCACACATTAGATATGAACAATTCAGAGACGCTGTTTGAGGCAACACCCAGCTATGATTAAAGTGACACATGCAGATGTGCAGTACATACAGCGTGGACATTAAATCAACTTATCGTTTTATTTGGTTAAGCCTTTAAAATCATGTGGCATTCCATTCAAAGTCTCTGTAATATCCCTGACAATCAATCAGTCATTCAATGCTGGTTCTTCAGTTTAGTAGGTGACTTTTTCCTCCATTCTTTGCAGTGTCACTGTTGCTTTTCAATATTTATATTTCTACTTATCCATGTGTTGTGCTGGTATGATATGCAAATCTTTTTTTGGGGGGGGGGGGGGTGGGGGGGGGGGTTATTAGATCTATATTTTAAGGTCAGGAAAAAAAAGTTCATCAATGGAGAGAAGAAGATGTGCTGGTGCGTTTAGGGTGCTTTTCTCTTGCTGATAAGAATCTTGTTGGTCGGTGTTGATGAAAGAGGAAATCTTCAATGAAATATCTTGGGTTTTCAGTTTGTCAGCAACCTGTGATGGAAACAGATCAATCATATAAGATCATGCCATATTTATGCATTATGCAACAATAAAAAACCTCATATTTGAACAGTTCATCTACACATGACAATTCTGCCATAATTTACTCACCCTGATATTATGCACAATAACTAAAGGTAACTACTACACAGAGGCACACATTGCAGTTCGTCATCTGCTATTTTGAACCCACAACTGATTATTACATCATAGCCATGGACCAATCCGCTTGTTAAGTCATGATGTATCGGTGACGTATAAAATACTGTTTCCGGGTCCAAGCCGCTACTCATTTGAATTAAGTAAATATTAGTTTATGAGCACTTTTTAGTCATATCACAAAAAGTTTTATAGAAAATGGTTGTACATATCAGTCTCTGGACTTGCTGCATCATAGACACCAATATTTTAACAATTAAAAAAAATCCTCACTTTCTGTCTATGATAATAGGCATGGATATAATATATATATTGCGATTGTGATTTTTGAAAGAAGCTGAAGTGAACCTTTCCAAAAACATTTCTTTTTTTTGAAAGGTGGTTTTAAGACAAGCTTTGTTGTGGTCTAACTTTGTTCAGACAAACAAAACAAGAGTTAGGTTATCGAATTTGCTTTGTATATTAAAAAACCATAAAAGGTTATTATTGTTGTTTTTGTTATATCTGTGGTATGATCTTTGCCACTGTGTTAAATTTATGATGAAATTTATAATTATGGTGGCTTGAGAAAGCCCACATACTGTTATACTACATAAACATATTACTCTTCCGTCTTCTTCTTCTTAGACTTTATTAAGAATAAATCTCCTCCTAGACCATTCACTACAACCACCAAACCTCCAAACTATACTGAATTAAGTCGCTGTATCTTTTCCAGCTGATCAGATTTTCGGTTTTCTGTAAACTGACGCAGAAAATTCTGAAAAGTCCCATCGACCTAACACTGGACCAAAGTTTGTAACCTCATAACTTTGCACCAGACTGTCATACAGACTTAAGGTTGGGCTCATTTAACTCAGACTACCAGACTGCTAATCACTGATGACCTTTCAACTTACTAGCCACAACCTAGCAACCACTTATGGCACCCTACTGTCATATAGACTTCCATTGTAAAAAAAAAAAAAAACTGCCATTGAAGTTTTATTGGACATACTAATGATGATGACATACCAATTCATACTAACAATATACAAATCTAGAAACATAACAAACATACCAATCATACTAGCAGCATGCTAATTCATACTAAATCAATGCTAACAACATGCTAATTCATAATAGAACCATGCTAATTTATGTTAGCAACTGCCTAGCAACAACTTAGAACATCTTAGCAACACCTTAGCAACCGCCTAGTAACACCCATGCAACCACCTAGCAAGATATATGCCAATCCATACTAGAAACATGCTAACCTATATGTAGATATCTATGCCAACTGTTTCAAACTTTTTAAAAATTATTTAAACTTTGAAACTACTTCAAACTCGGCTTTCTCAACCCCCTATAAAATTTGTCTACGAAATTTACTTTTCTAGATTTAAAAAATATTTTTATATTTATTGTTATTAAAAAAAAAACATTTCTGCTATGAACAAAACAACTTTTATTGTTTGTCACAAACACATACCTGTTTTTTTTTATCACATAACATTAGCAACATAATAGTAGCACTTCCATAAACAGGCACTCTGGCAAGTACAACAATCTCTGAAAATGCATCCCAGAGAAACAGAGATTATCATATAATCTTGGAAATGGAAATCATGTGTGGTTTAAAAATCACAAGCTGGTTTCACAGCTCTCCGATAATGTCACACTTGTTTTTCTATGGCTGAAGATTTAAGCCACAAGCCCTGCAGCAAAATTTAAGAGTCTTATAAGAAAACAAGAGACCGAGGAACAGCTTAACAAAAATCAAATGGTAATTTATAACTGATTGTTTAGTGGAAAATATGGTGAGGTGGGTCATGCCAAGCAATTTTTTTTTCATTCCACATTGCTATGTGGTTACTTACTACAGTGAAAGTAAAAAATGTGACTTGTTTCCATAATGACTTGTGGAACAATTTGTACAGTTTTGGAAAACTTCAACCTGTACCACCTAATTATTTGCCATTGATGGCGTAGATAGTGATACAGGTTAGTGGCGTACATTTTAATGTGTATTTATGGATGTAGCATGTGCTGAAAGTGTTGCAAATGCAAATTTTGGAAAACATGTTTCAAAGAGTTCGTTTTTGAGAATGATACAGGAATCACCTCCATGTAAACGACAAAAATCCTATTTTTTGAAAATGGTGGCATCATCTGTATTTAATCTAGGCAAAAGTACTTGACGAACGAAACAACGATGGACTACAGATCTGTGTGTGTGCCCGGTGCATAATGTTTCTTTACAGTAACATCAGCTACTGTTTTTGTCATCTGTGTTTTCATATAAACAAATCTTACGGACAATGTTGACTATTCAAAAATCTTTTCCATTTTTTAAACATTGTTGTCAATTAAAATGTGTAACTAGAGTTAGAAGTTTGTTTAAATCAACCCCAGGTATGACTAGAAATAAACCTTGACTTCAGTGTATTTCTTGCATAAATAATATTATAAAAACCATTTAGTTTCCAGAAAGAACTACTTACCCAAAATACACTTCTCCAAAGACTTCAACTCCTTTTTTTAACTCCTTTGTTGCTTTCATCAGCAGTCTGCTGTGGTTCATTCTGCTCCCATATGTCGGCCTGTTCTTCCTCACCCTCTGTGACCTCTTCGTCACCTTTCCCATCATCCCCTTCTGCCAGAGCTTCACTCTGACGAACACTGACAGAGATGACCATTGCTTGAATTATGCCATAAATCAAAGCAAATGGCAGCAGGTACTCCTGTACCACCCACAGCAGTCCAGCCATTCCAACAGCTGACACTATAAACATGGCCATGCCATGGAGCCACAGCTTCAGTGCCCCCTGCACCCCCAGCACGTCCAAAATGACCTTGGTTGGAGGGGATACAGTACTCAGGAAGCCTACTACGAATAAGTCAAAAAGATGTCGGAGGAAATTAAAACAAATGTCGTAATGTTCAGGCATGATGTTCCCCGTCCACGAGCGAGAGAAAAAGCGGAATGCTGACTTTTGGGACAGCGGCATTGGAGACGGCGGAGGTGTCCCGTAGTCTGATTCTCCATCAACCTCATCACTGTCCCATGTGCCTTCATTCCACCCAGCACATTTCTGCTGACGAAGTTTGGTGGATGATGATGATGATGACCACCGGGGCCAAAAAAAGTATCTGGATGGAAGCATTCGCCTCCACCAGCTTGGGGAGCTTTTGACCACAACCTTCTCAGTCTCAAGATCAGGCCTCAAAGCCCGAAGCTCCTCTACTTCCAAAGGCTTGAAATGCTCCTCAGTTTCCCAGAATTCCTCAGTAATTGTCTTTTGGTCCTTTTTGGCATTCTCACCCCTCCAAACCCAGGAAGTCAGTCCCCATAAGCCACTTTTAGTCTCATGTTTAATGGTGGCGGGTGTCTCTGGTTTGGTCGTACTGCCCCAAGACGAGTAAAGATTTGCTGGACTGACCCACCCCCAAACTCGCCCTACAACTGCTGTCATGTTGAAGCCTAAATATTGTTAAGGAATTCAATTTTCAGCTGGTGAATTTCACAAATAACTGACAAGAAGCAAGAAGAGTTTTAAGTTTATAAGTAAAATACTGAAATAGTAGTTTCTTTTAAAATGTATAAGTGTTTGTCCAACTACGAATAAAGTCCATTTACAATTTACAAAGGGAGTTAATTAAAACCCTAGGACATCTATAAAGTGTCAGTAAGTTACAAAGTTATTGATAAACAACTGTAATTAACCCAGTTATAGCAGTAAAGCACTAATATCGACTGGTAGCACAAATTAATATGGCTATTAAAGGTTTTAAATATATAAGGTTTTTAGTGTTCCCTAAAGTTTTATACTGACACAGGCGTTAGCAATGACACCTCAACAGACCTGTATTACAGCGTGTTTGTATTAGCACAAATGAAGTGTAAACTACACAAAGGCCACACCCGTGCCAAACTCAAAGCCAGGTAACGTTAGAGAATGTAATAAGAACATAAATTAGAAACATGCTAAAAATCACCGTGGTAGCATTGCTTGGTCTCAAGCAGCATTTTCCTCAGGCGAAACGGCGTCTGTTAGCATGTCTGAGCAAGCTTCACATCCAGGATCGTCTCCACAACTTGAAATGCTAAACTGTATTGATGTCAAACGGCGAATCGCTTTTGACAAGATAAATCAAACATACCTACGACGAGAAATCTTTAGTTTTGTTGGTTCTAAATGCAGGCAGGTACATCTTCCAGAGATTACAGCCCATCTGCTATAGGTGAAAAACAGTTGTATACACTTATCGAAGCCAGCTTCACATACCCGTTCATTAACACCCGGTATAGACGTGATCAAACTTTAACAGCTTAGCAAATAAACAGCTCGACGACAGCCAAATAACACAAACCAACGAAATTCATAAGGTTCTTTTAAACACGAAACGCAAACTGCCGTCGTGTCGTCTTAACTCGTGCGGGAGCCAGTTTAACTTACTTGACTAGGAATAAGCAGACTGACTCGTTTCAAAGAATCGACTCTTTCAAACGGCGTATTTTAATGAATTGGTTTAGTTTACCAATTCAATAGGGATTCCTTTACGTTGAAATCACAGGCCACTTACAGGCAGTCATTGCTTGAACATCCGAATAAAATCTTACGCTTGCGGCCAGTGCTGGGATTTTTTACGTTTTTAGTGAGGATTTAGTAGACGTTTTTATATAATTTTTTTTCAACTACAGGGATAAATGATACTTTTTAAGAAAGGCAACTAAACTCATATTTAAGCATTTTGTCATTTCAATTTATATCAATTATAACTTTAATTCATACTTTAAACCTTTTTTTTAATGTATGGCGGAGACTTTTGTTGAACCAAACAAAGCCCGTAACCCCCTTCAACTGGTTCACTCAAACGATCCGACTCGTTAGAACAATTCATTCACTAATCGGGCGTTGCTACGCAGTACTTACGTGCACAACCCGGTAACATTAAGTCATCGCAACAAAACGACCTTCACCATAAGATTTGTGACGTTACATCTGGACAAATAAAGTCCTTTTTTATGGATGTACGCACTTAATAGACTGCTAGTCGCAGACATGAATATGTAACGGCGTCTTTAGTTTACGCTACGTGAAGTCATGTAAAATAAGAGATGTAAACCTGAAAGCACGTTTCTATAATAAAAGTCCTTCGCGAACCAACAAATGGGTGGAATTACATGTTGAATCAATCAAATTCACATAGACGTGAATACAAAAATGCTAATACAAAGTGATTATATTATAAATAAATACATACATTTTATGAATAACCCAGTTCATACATTGCATAAATAATTTCTGCCTAGGAATGTTATATTGACTAAAAGTTAAAACCATACGCAATATTTTTATTTCATGCAAAAAACAAACATGGACAACTTTTCACTTTAGTTCTGATGTTTATTAAAAGCAATACTCTGTTGAAAAAGCAGTTTATAAAACTGAAAATGAGAAAATTAACTCAAACAGTCTATTGAATGCCACTAAACAAGCATTTAAATTGATGTATATCATTTTAATTCACCATTGTGCAGCAAACCAGTCACAGCTCCTCTTCGGTCACATCCTTGAAAGAAAACAAAATTGTATTAGACAACAAGACATGAAATAAAAGTTCATGCATTGTCTGTCAGTGTTTCAGTGCGCCGCGAGAAAGTTACTTCATTGACTTTCAGTGGAACCGAACAAACGCAGTCATCATTAACACAAGAAAAAGAGCTAGGTTTACTGAACCAGTATTTACACGGCTCCGCATTCATGTGTATGCAGCACCCCTTCACTGGCATCTCGTCAACCTAAAAACAAAATAAAATCCAATAATCAAAAGTTCTTAGTAACAAATACATGCTCATAATAAAAAAGCTGTGCTCAGAGAAATGTGTAGATCTTCATGTTGTTATCAGAGACTCTAGTCTATGGAATCATCACTGCACAATAGAGAATCAGCTCAGTTAGGTCAAAACGCCAACCTTTAAGCAGATTCATGAATCCAAGACATCCATGTTGGCTTCGAACCCTGTAGTTGAAAACCTTGAAAAGAAAGAAACTCTAGTTTTATGAATACTCATTACCTGCAACTGACCATTAATGGACAAATGCTTTTGAAAATGAATAAAAATATTTTTGTTCATTTACATGTGACTTGGGGCCTGAAAATTCACATACGTTTCTATTCAAGAGATCAATTTATTGGAAATAATGGTTACGATGAGTGTAAGCTTGAAAAAAAAAATTCACGTGCAACATTTAAACCAACTACCAGTCTGAAATGCTCAATTTCAGCTTTTTTCACTGAATTGTGAATGAGGATCTTTTTGACAGTGTTGACTTTTACAAGTGAAACTTTTCAGAAGCGCAAACTACAAAAAATATATAAAAAAAATTGCTGTGTAAATTTATCCTAATTTGTGAAGCTTTCATTGACGATCCTTCTTACCCATTGGATGTCAACTTAGAATCAGCCAGCAGGCTTTTGTTCCATTCAACCTATAAAAGTTATTACATTTTAGAAACATTCAAGCCACTTCAAATTAGTCTTAAGCAGTACTGCATGTGTTCAGTGCACTGTGAAGAGCTTCATGGAGAAATCAGAGACTCTAGTCTAAAGATTCATCATAACATGGCATTTCTTTAAAAGATTTTGCTTAAACTCATTCTCACCTATTGGCTGTGTATTGTTGGCATCAGCTATCTAGCAGCTTCAGTTTGATCCAAACTGTGAAAGTTATTTAAGCATTCAGGATCATTCAAGTAACAACAAACCACTCATTATTTTGTATTGCATGTGTACAGTGCACTGTGAACAGCTTCATAAGTAAATCAGAGACTCTAGTCTAAAGATTCATCATAACATGGCATAAATGAAAAAATGCTATCTTTGAAAGATTTATCGAAAACCCATTCTTACCCATTGGTCGCCTATTGTTGGCATCAGCTACCTGGCAGCCTCTGTTTTTCTCATCCAAACTGTGAAAGTTAAGCATTCAGGGTCATTTAAGCCACAGCAAACCACTCATTTTTTTTGTAGAGCATGTGTTCAGTGCACTGTGAAGAGCTTCATGGGTAAATCAGAGACTCTAGTCAAATGGTTCATCATGACATGCAATAATGTACAAAAGGCTTTCATTTTATGTAATTACCTCTTTTTTTTGCTGAAAGATGGCATCTGCTACAAGGCAACTGATTTCACTCATCTAACCTGTGAAGGTATTTTAACATTTAGGAATATTTAAGCCAAAAATAAATCCACCATAAGCAGTACCGCATGCGTTCAGTGCACTGTGAAGAGCTTCATGGGAAAATCAGAGACTCTAGTCAAATGATTCATCATTATATGCAATAATTGGCTAAAGCAGGGTTTCTCAACCACCTTCCTGGAGGACCACCAGCCCTGCACATTTTACATGTTTCCTTAACCAAACACAACGTATTCAGATCATCAGCTTATTAGCAGTGACTGAAAAACCGGTGATGGATGTGACAGACAAAGAGGTCATTCAAACAATGCAGTGTTAGTGGTCCTCCAGGAACATAGATGAGAAACTCTGGGACAACGTGCTTTCTTTGAATTGATTTTTTTTTTCCATTGGAAAAGCAATTCTTACCATTTTATTGTCAACTGTTGACATCGACTACCAGCCTCAGTTTCTTTGATCCAACCTGGGGCCTGTTTCAGTAAGGAGGTTCAAACAACTCAGAGTTTAAACTTGAACTCTGAGTTGATTAACCGAGAGATTAAAAACTCAGAGTTTTCGGTTTCAGAATAGCTGATCTGAGTTGGGTCAATCAACTTCGAGTAGACCAACTCAGAGTTAAGCACATACACCATGACTTTAAAAAGGCATTATCAATGGAGCGCAGACATTACGAGTGACTATGGCAATATCTTATAAAAGAGATCACCATTTCTTTCTCCAGCTGAACTTGATTTGCTCATGCAAAGTTATAGCAAATATGAGCGTATATATTTGAAAAGAAGCAACCATCAGTGAAGAAAAGACAGTTAGCGTGGGAAAACAGCTGCTCAAGTTAATGCCTAATTTCACTTTTTAAGTATTTAAATATTTAAGTATAATAAAATAAGTAATGTAATTTGTGACGTTTATTTTTTTTTCAAAACTTTTTTACACATTTATTAGTTTTAAATGATTTAACAGTGCACTTGTGTGTCTGCCTTTTTTATTGATCAAGTGATAGAGGTTAATATAACATTTAGAAGGTAAGCAGTACTAAAAATAATTTTTAGAAAGAATAATAATCCCATTAATCTAGTTACAGTGCATGTCGAAGGTGAATTTAATTTAATTATTTATTAAAAAAGGACAAGCCATTCTCGTACAGTTCTTCTGTGTGTGACTAAAATGTAGGCAATAGCTATGTTTCCATCCAAATATATTACATAAATGTATGTGCAAAACTGGAATATTGCATAAAAGATGCGAATAAAATTCCATCCAACGAGTCAAAGAGAAAAAAATCGTCACTTCCTGATTAAACTGGCACCAAATATCAAACAGAATTTACTGTGGTAGAAGAAGCTGCGTCAATTAATTCTTTATTTAGCCTAATTAATGTACTTGCGCCTCAATGTCAGAAGACAATGCTGAAACACAATGAACACGTGGGGGCGTCTGAAGCCATGAGACGCGGAGACTCTTGACACGCACCAGACGTTCGGAGGTAATTAATAATATACACAAATACTGAAACAGTTAAGGCATTTTAGAATGACTAACACAATAAGACATGTTACAGTGTGCTCAGCCTGCTGGTTTGTTCATTTACACACATTTTCATTATCATATGATCATGATCTTTTTTTTAATGTACATACTGTAATTTGTTCAGTAAAAGTGTTTCCATCGTAGTTTATGCGCACATTTTCTATCGAATAAAAGTTTATCCTACTCAGTTATGCACGTTTTTTATGCATATTTTAAAAAGTTATGTGCATCTTGACGTTTCTATCAATCATTTTTATGCACATATCCAAAATGAGCATTAAAATAGGTGGGTAGAAACGTAAGGCTAAGACGAGAAATACCGCTTCATCTTTAAAAAAGGGGAGGAGACAGACAGAAACTCTGAGTTTAGAGAATAAAACCTGCTTTTGACCAGGTTAGATTCACAGAGTAAGTTACCACAGTAACTGACTCTGAGTTAAAGTTACCTTTCTTTCAGAAACAGGCTTGACTTACCCTGCTTTCTCGAGTTTAACAAACCTGCCATTTTGAAACGGAAAACCCAGAGTTTCTCTCATTTCAGGGTTAAAATACTCTGAGTTTTCAGTTAACCTCCTTTCTGAAACAGGCCCCTGAGAAGGTATTTTAACATTTAGGAATATTCAAGCCAAGAACAAGATCCATCATAAACAGTACTGCATGTGTTCAGTGCACTGTGAAGAACTTCATTCTTAAATCAGAGACTCTAGTCAAATGATTCATCATTACAGGCAGTAATTGGCTAAAGGACAATGTGCTTTCTTTGAATTTTTTTTTTTCTATTGGAAAGGTAATTCTTACCAACTGATCGTCAACTGTTGGCATCATCTACTGGCCTCAATTTCTTCCATCCAACCTGTAAAGGTAACTTATTTAGGAATATTCAAGCCAAAAACTGAATCCATTGTAAGCAATGCAGCATGAGTTCAGTGCACTGTGAAGAACTTCATAGTTAAATCAGAGACTCTAGTCAAATGATTCATCATTACATGCAATAATTGGCTAAAAGATAATTTGCCGTCTTGGAATGAAACTTTTGGTTGAAAAATTAATTCTTACCAATTGGTCGTCAACTGTTGGCATCGTCTACCAGCCTCAATTTCTCTCATCCAACCTGTGAAAAATTACAATTAGGAACATTCGAGCCAAAACAAATCCATCATAAGCAGTACTGCATGTGTTCAGTGCACTGTGAAGAGCTTCATGGAGAAATCAGAGACTCTAGTCAAATGATTCATCTTTACATGCAATAAGGGCAAAATGCTGTCTTCGAAAAAAGGTTTTCATTGGAAAAGTAATACTTACATAATGGTTGTCAACAGTTGGCGTCAACGGCCTGCCATCCAACCTGTAAAGGTTATTTGAACATTTAGGTACATTCAAGCCACAACAAAAATCAAAAATGACTAGAACTGCATGCATTCAGTGCACTGTGAAGAGCTTCATGATTAAATCAGAGACTCTAAAGATTCATCATAACAGGCAGTAAAACAACATTTAAATCATATATTTTTATTAAAAAATCTCCAGTCATTTAGCATGTTTATATATATTTTAACATCAATCTAAAATCCTCTTTAAAAAAAAAAAAAAAAAAAGTGTTCTTGTACTTACAAGAAATCTGCGTTTGCCCTTTCGCACCGTTTCTTGGACTTTGGTTCTCTACACAACAATATTTATAAGCAGCAAGCATTTTCAAAAGCTTACTAAAAAATTATCAAGTCATATTCGATAAAAATGCTTAACTAAATAAAATTACGACCACGAGGGAGAGGCCGTGAGCAGCCAACGTCAGTTATTTTACAGATACTGCTTTCAGGTAAACGCACAGACTATCGACATTTTCAAAGTAAACGTGTATATATAATATAAAACCAAAAAGATATTTTAACTAATACGAAAGAAGCAAATTTGTCACTGTCTCCTAGCCCACAAACATCCGCATAATGAAGGATCATGGCAGCGTGCACGCAGGAACATTTAAAAGGGTCCTAATGCTGCAGAAGGGCAGGGTAGCGGAATATCTGCCTGAATGTAAATACAAGATTACATGAATGTAAGTCATTTTTATGATTTTTATTCTTAGTTTATGTCTTTTTATTTGAACCTTATGCAATTTATTTTAAAATCAATATCAACACACACAACGTATACTCAAATAATTATTAATTATGATCAAAAACAACAATAATTTATATGATAAAAATCCCCAAAACTGCCAACCTATTCTGGTTGGCAACTGCATTTCTTTTATTGTCAAAAACAAAATAAATAAATGTAATGTTAAGTTGCGAAAAGCTAACCGTTAACGTATATAGCGGCGAAAAAATCAGGTCTAACAGTTATTTTAAACACCTAGTAATATAATAGCTTCAGAAATGGTTTGTACTTGTTAAATATTTATAAATCAGTTACTGTTGAATTTTTCAACCTAGTTTTCAAACATAGGCACGTGGTGGCGCAGTGGGTGGAGCTGTCGTCTCACAGCAAGAAGGTTGCTGGTTTGAGCCTCAGCTGGGTCAGTTGCCAAATCTGTGTGGAGTTTGCATGTTCTCCCCATGTTCGTGAGGGTTTCCTCCTGGTGCTCCGGTTTCCCCCACAGTCGGGTAATTTGTCTGTGGTGTATGTGTGTGAATGAGAGTGGGGCCAGTGATGGGTAAAACATATGCTGGATAAATTAGCGGTTCATTCCACTGTGGCGACCCCTGATTAATAAAGGGACTAAGCTGAAAAGTTTAGAAATGTTCAAGAACAGGATTATTAGTTGTGTATGTCTGTATGTGGTGTGGAAATATGGAACATCTGGAACAGACTCTCAAACAATGTCAGGATATTAATCAATAAAAAAGTTGTATAAATATATATTATTAAAGGAATATTTAATAGAGGTCATTGAAAAAAAGGATAAAATGAGAAAGGTATGATGAAATTTCAATTAATGCCTGTTTACAATACTATGTATTTTTTTGGGTCTCTGTTACAAAATGTAAATGGAATCAAACATAATATGTCAAAGATGTCAGAAGGAAAAAATATGTCTCATGCAAAGCTCATATGTCTCATGTGAAAAGAACAGATAAGCAAAAGAAGAAATATGTTTACGTGATAGAAGAATGATGTGTAATAATGGGGTGGGAAAATAATAAGTTTGTGCTTCATCCCGCTCCATTTTTGACCATGCATGGTAAAATGTTTTTTTTTTTGTCAAATAATTTTTAATGTACGATATTTCTGTTGGAAAATAAATAAATCAAATCAAAATTATAATTTTATCGCTAATATATTTTTGAAAACTCGATTGTATCCAAATAAAACATTTTAGAAAATTACCAAGCATTTTTATATTGTATATACACACAATTATATATATATATATATATATATATATATATATATATATATATATATATATATATATACACACACATATAAGCACACACACACACACACACACACACACAGTTGAAGTCAACATTATTAGCCCCCCTTATTAGCCCTCGATCTTGTTTATTTTTTTCTCTGTTTAATGGAGAGAAGATTTTTCCAACATATTTCAATAGTTTTAATACCTCATTTTTAATAACTGATTTATTTTATTTTTGCCATGATAACCGTAAATAATAATTTACTAGATGTTTTTCAAGACACTTCTATACAGTTTAGAGTGACATTTAAATGCTTAATTAGGTTAATTAGGGTAACTAGGCAGGTTAGGTTAATTAGTTAGGTTAATAAGTTATTGTGTAACGATGGTTTGTTCTATAGACTACCGAAAGAAATATAGCTTAAAGGGGCTAATAATTGACCTTAAAATGGTTTTAAAAATTCAAAACCGCTGAAGAAAAAATATTATCTTACTGTGAAAACTCCGTTGCTCTGTTAATCATCATTTGGAAAATATTGACAAAAGAAAAAAAATTCAAAGGGGGGCTAATAATTCTGACTTCAACTATATATATATATATATATATATATATATAAACCTCTATATCTCGTGACACTCTTAAAATATATAATTAATAGTCAGTGTAACGTTAATCACTTTTGCTTAAATATGTTTGGTTGTGTGACCGGTCCTCGCTTTACTCTGCGTTGTGTTGTGATTAGGCGAAAGGAACCAGTCATATGGGAATTAACAGGCTTTTATTCTGTATGAATAAAGCAAACAAATGGCAAAGCTGAGTATATGTGCCTTCCTTAGGAGCTCACCAACCTCTCCTCAATCGCGTTTGCCGCGAACTGACATAAATAAAGTTGAAGTGTGTTTAACATACACCAAAAAAAGAAACATTATACATAAATTCAAAAACATAACAGAAGCATAAACACATATGTAAACACATACCTGTATGAATAAAGCAAACAAATGGCAAAGCTGAGTATATGTGCCTTCCTTAGGAGCTCACCAACCTATTAGTGAAAGGGATAATTCTCACTACAAAGCTTGCACATTCATGCTTATAAACTTTACCCACAATACATGCCTCATATACATTCAACCCCTCATACATGTTTAAACATCAATGTAATGCAATTTAGAACACCATTACATGTGTTATTATGATAAACAACACTTATATGTTATATTTTAACCGGAGCTTCAGTAAAACTCACCTCTCCTCAATCGCGTTTGCCGCGAACTGAGTGAGAGCAGGCGGAACCGGAAAACGACACTTAAAGGGGCCACGCGCAATTTTCCAAAATACACCAACACATTGAAAACAAACACAACTATGATTTCATTAACTCTGAAATATAAGATATATAAAGAACAACTTTGAAAATACACAATTAAATAAAAATAATTGATGAGTAACAAGGAGAATTTTGAGTGAAATTAATAAAAATAATATAACACCTGTTACATTCACCTCCCCTAATTTCATCAAAATTTCTGCACATCTATGAAGAGGAGTTTTCAAGAAATCCCATTACATGAACATCATAATTACAGCACTGAAAGCTATCTGTCCTGACAGATACAGAGGAATTTGAGGTTGATCAGGCCTCAAAACCTCTTAGTAAAGTATGTTGCCAAATACACCATACCACATGTAATCATTTGTGTGAAATCCTCACTCACATAAAGTGTCTTATATGCAATTTAACAGCATCGATTATCTGCCAAAATGACCAAAAAAAAAGTAGACTTGTCAAAATATAGTGTCATCAAAACAAACTTAAAACTGACTGAGACTTTTTTAGAAAACTGTTCGACAAGTTTGGCATTTTGAATGGCTTTTGGGCCATGGTCTCTATAAGACGGTTGACTCTCTTTACGACTCTACCAGCTCGTGTTGTAATTTTGCCTTGTTCGTGATCTGACGACAACACATCTACAATCACTGAATCACCAACGTCTGGATTGGACATAACAGAATTAGCAGATGGACTGTCACTGTTAAAATCACATGGACCTGAAGCCTCATCAGAAAGGATTTGGATTTGACTCCCTGAATTGGAATCACCATGGTAAGTGTCACTACTATCAACATCTTGTTGTATTGGTTCGTCAACAGACAGTGAATTTGGTGAATGTTCTCTGTTTAATGCCCCTGAATATGTTTTGTTTGTAGAAGTCTCATCCTCCAGACAATCAGTGGAATTGGATAATAGGCTCTCACACTCTGAGTCATCTGAGCACTCCTCAGTTGCTGATTCGTCTGATGTCTCCTCTGGAAGTGTTACAGGTAAGAAACTAATATCCAAGAGCATGTTCCGATGAACCACTTTGGTTAGTCCTTTATCATCCTCCACCTTGTATATGTGTGTTTTAGGGTCACTATCCACGATGGTATATACGGTAGGTTCCCATTTATCTGCTAACTTCCGTTTGCCTCTTTCGCTTTTGTTGGCAATCAGCACTCTGTCTCCACAGTGTAGATGTACCCCTTTTATCCTGCGGTTATACATCTCAGCCTGTTTATTTTGTTCTTGTGTGGCATGTTTTTGGGCAATTTCAGCTGCTTCTGAAAGGTGAGACATCAATGCAGCAGCATAGTTGCTATAATCAACAGTTACAGGATCATTCAAAACTTGTTTAAACATTACATCCACAGGCAACCGTGGTATGCGCCCAAACATAAGCTGAAAAGGGGCATAACCAGTTGTTTCATGTACTGTTGAATTATAGGCGAACGTCAGAGTCTGTATCTGTTGTGGCCACTTGTCCTTAGATCTCAAGGGCAATGAACGTATCATGGTCCCCAATGTTCGGTTAAACCGTTCTGTGATGCCATTGCCCATAGGATGATAGGCAGTCGTGCGAGACTTGGAGACACCAGAAAGCGCCAGAAGTTCAGCGATAAGCTCGCTCTCGAAATTTGTGCCTTGATCTGTATGGATTCGCTCAGGGAAACCATAGACACAGAACACATGATCCCATAACTTCCGAGCGACTTGCTTAGCTGTTTGGTTAATGCAAGGAAAAGCATGTGCGAGCTTAGTGAAATGATCTGTCAAGACCAACACATCCACTGAACGTTGCTTATTATCCTCTGCACTCCAAAAGTCAAGACAAACCAACTCCATTGGCGCAGAAGTTTTTATGCTTTCCAGTGGGGCTCTAGCAGCTGGCTCAGGTGTTTTAGCCAGAATACACCTCCTGCAACACTTGACATACTCCTTAATCTCATGGTCCATCTTGGGCCAGAAAAATCGCTGTCTTGCTAAATGAATTGTTCTAGCCTGTCCTTGGTGACCAGCAAGATCATGGAGACCACTCAAAGCTTTTTCCTTCATACATTGAGGGAGAACATACTGGTGGCGTTTCTGTCTGCTTACTGGGTCCTTTGTCACTCTATACAAGATCCCGTCCTGGATTCTCAGACGATCCCACTGCTTTATGAGTGTTAGAGCTCTGATATCCAACTGGTCTCTTTCTCGTCGAGAAGGGCGTCTTTTCCGAATTACTAAAGGGAGAACTTTCGAAATAGTACTGTCAAGCTCTTGACTCCTTTGCAACTCATCATGAGAAAATCCAAGTAAAGAGATTTGGTTAGCAGCT